CCTCTCTGAGTCCTTCCTTGGTGTTTTCTCCCAGTGAGCAATTACCAAAGGACTGAGTCACCCATGTGGTAGCCTGTGGTTGGGTGTGGGCTGAGGTTATTCAGTGACTAATTTCCAAGGGGAGGAGAAATTGGCTTAAGTGGGAAGGGCTACTTTGTATCCTTGCTTGTGGCAGCTCAGCTCCTAACTGTGGGTAAAACAAAATGGTTTTTATTGGGAAACATTTCAAGATCTCTGCATACTTTGCGATGATTTTTATCTCTGAAGAGAAAGCCATCTAAAAGATCCAACTGTGGAACTGAGGATTTAGATGAAGCCCACAAACAAAGGAATCTCATAACCGGGAGCTGAGCCAATGTGTTTTTTCACAGCGTCAATTATTACAGGTGATTTCCTTAGGAAAAAGTAAGTGGCTTTAATTCTTTGAGAGTGGAAGTGGTTTGTAGGAAACCTTGTTAGTTTATTCCAGTCACTCCATTGTGTGGCTGGACCAAGTGGTATGTTTACCAATTCTAGACCTGAAGGGTGGGGTTTCAACTGTAATGAATTACCTATAATACTCCCTTTCCGACAAGTATATACCTATGTTTATTAAATGTTCCGGAGACATGATTACATGAGACAGTTTCCCTTCTGTGGCGCTAAATAAACATTCTTCACGCTAGATTTTTTTTCCTCAGAAGCAGTTTTAAGGTGTTCCTTCTTACCTTTAAGAAATTTCTGAATGAGTAATATTCTGTTCGACTTACGTTGCTTTGGGGAATGCAATATAGCTGTCTGTAAATATTCCTAACTCAAACTTTAGATAAGTAATCTAATGCTGCCCTAGGTATCTGGGGGTGCTGTCGGAAGTATAGAGCTAACATACTTACTGATCTACCATAAGTGCTACAGCCGAGACCACAGCCCCCTTACCTGGGGCTTTGGAGATGAGCCTCTCAAAAAGGTTTCCTGCTTACAAAAAGCAGAAGGATTCAAACAACCAAAGATACAATACTGAATTGAGCAGTAATGAAAAGAGAGAAAAATGATGTTCCCCCAAAGTAGGAATGCGGGAGGAGAATCTGGTTCCCACACACACGCACAGAGACAGAGAGAAAGACTTACTTTACCTTGTCAGGTTAGTAGTATTTTCTCCTAGGGATCAGACTTTGAATACTAGTACAGGAAGAATGCAGAATGTATTTAATGCCATGCCTTTACTTGTTAGCCAGATAGTTAAAACCAAAATGAAATCAAACTATGTAGGTGCCTGATTCTAGGACGATACCACCATGAGAAGAAACGAGCCTGAAAGATGAGCATTGCTTTAAACTATGAATTATAGAATCTTACTCTTTCTCCTGCTTCATCCAATCAAGCTGGCCTCTTGAAGAATTAGCAAAGTCTACATTTATTGGAGTAACAAGTGGTCTCCTACAGAGATCACACTGAAGACTTGGAAAAAGATTCTCTTCTCATTGCTCATCTTCCCACCCCTTCTCAAGTGTGAGTCGCCTTTGGTTGTTCCCTATCATTTAGCACATAAACCTAAATTATCTCATTTCAAGAGTCTGTTGCTGGTTGTCAGTTTAAAAATCTTATTCTCCTGGGGCTTTATGGGATCATCATGTCATCATCTTTGTGAGTTCTCTTTAGAGCTGAGGATAAAATTATCAGGGTGTTTTTAAAACTCAGTCCTGGAAAGTCAGGGATAGCTTGGCAGAGCAACACAGGAATTCTGCAAAGGGTTTCCAGCTTCTAACTTGCGCATCTTGATGGAGACATCCAACTTCAGAGTACCTGTTCTGTCATGAATGAATGCTTGTGTTAGGTTTGGTTCCATGACGGATAACTCAGTGATTTATTCAGTGCCCGTTTGGATGATGGCAAGATTGTCTTAAGGTGGACAAAGCAGGGCCAGTACAGAGCACAGCCACCAGGGATGTGAGGTCCATTGCTTATGGCTAGGAGCTGTCTACATTGAGTGAGTGTCCATTCTGGTCTACTGGAACTTGTGCCATACTAGATACTGGTTGTTAAATATTTTGGCTATCATCCAGGCTCCACATGTGAATGCATAATGTGATGCTTCAGAGTTCTTACTTAATTAAATTACATTTCTTTCTGATCACATCTACATGTGCCGTCAGGAAGTCTAATGACATTCGTTTTCCTGATGAGTTTTTTTAATGCTTTGTTTTTGAAGATAGTTACAAAATATAGTTCCTAACCATTTCTTTTCACATCACCGAGACTTTTAATTGGTCACTTGCTAGCTACTCGTGTAGCTAAGCAAGGTAGAGGGCTGCTGCTTTAAGAGAAATCTATTCAACTTTTTATTTATTGAAATTAATTTGATGGTTTTCTTGCATTAATATTATTTATGCTTCTAGACTTTTCTGTGTTTTTGAGAATCTTGATGTCTGTTCTACTTCTCTGATCAGAACAGCGGAGCTTCCCACGGGCATTATTGGAATCAGGGTTCCCCTGACGAGGATGTTATCTGAAGATGAATAAAGAGAAAAAGAAAACAGAGCATAGTGACACGTCTGGGTATTTATTCATCCCGATGGAGTTCTAGACACTTGGAATCTTGTTTTATTTTATTGGGAATTAGTAATAATAGTCACAGGTGTGCCCACCCTTTGTCAGTAGCTTGTCCTGGGCACTGTGTGTTGGTTTTGCACAGGGGTGTATGGAAGTCACTGCAACGGATTTGTCTTGAAGCTTGTTCTGGTTGATCGATGTGTTGTGTGGTCACTCGCATGGGGAGGGTGTTGAGTGAAGGAGGGCTGGAGTCGCCCTGGCTCTAGAGCCACCTGATGAGTACACAGGGATGATTCCCGGGAGGGGACCTCTCGAAGGAGTCACAGTCTGGGTTAGAGAAGGACAAAAAGATAGTCTTTGTGGTTGGAGCTCTGTGCGTGGGTCGGAAGGGGAGTGTTGGAAATGGAGGTAAGTTGTGATTGTAAAGAAGGAAACTGCATCCTCAGGGTTCCCAGAAACACTGGGCCCCTAAGGAAGCCACGAAGGCAGTTCTGTGGTGCTCAGAAACGTACCCTCCAGGTCCCCATTTTGCTTCTACTTGTGTCTTGTTTATACTTTTAATTGGTCACTTTTGGTCTGAAATCTATTATAATACCTAAAACTCCTGGCCCTCTTAAGGATTCTGCACTGCTGGATCCTTCCAGGAACCAGAGAAAGAAGCCCGAAAGACCACAGTTCCTTGTCCTGCCTTCTTGTCCACAAAGGACGGATAGGACTTGTCTTGTCTTCTCCTTGCCAGGGAGGTGGGGCTTCTCCAGAGCTGTGTCCTCCGATGATGCTGGCTCTCAGTAACTGCTGGTAACTCTTGTTTACTAAACCAATGCATTTCTATCATAATGATCCTTTGGTTTGTATTCAAGATATGGGGCTCCTTTTCACTCCCAGCTTTTCTTGTTTCCTCTTCTTTTTTCTACTCTTTTCCTCCATCATCCTCGCTACAGTAACCTCAGCCGCACTTCTAGGTTCTTGACCTTTTGAGTTCCTTCTCTTCTAATGCCCCTGACTCAGCCATCTGCCAAGCATTTATACTCTGGTCTGTCGTGTTTCCTGGAATTCAGGTAGGCAGTATCCTATGGCAGCACAGATAGGGCTTGGAGGCTGAGTCAAGGTTGTCATTTCCGTCTTCAGTTGGAGAATCTCGGCTTGTCTCTCCCTTTAGGGTCCTATCCTGAATTCATTTGTAGTTTTCATTCTGCCTCTTGCTAAACAAATGATGTAGCTGCAAATTACTGGATTGTTCAGTTACTGTTTCTCCTAAAGGAGAGTTGCTGGAAGACCCTGTGGGAATTCTCGCTTCTCCTGAACTGAGTGGAAAGGACACAAAGCCCTCGCATGCACCTTACCATGAGGCAGTTCCAGGATGAGCTTTAGGATTTTTTCTGTCATGCTTGGCAGTCTACCATCTTGTCTCCTCACCCTGTCTGCTCTGAGAGTGTCTATGATTTTACTGTTGTCTCATGGATCACTATTACCCTCAACCTCTCTTCATAGACTCACCTAGAGATTGGGGAATGAATGGAACTTCCCTCCAAGGCTCCCCCAGATATCTTTTTTGCCTTTCTGATCCTGCCCCTAGACTGTGTTAGCTTAGAATGATGAAAAATACAGTGACTGTTTCTTAGGACTCACAGTAGGAAAATGTTCCCAGGACAAGTGATAGGAAACATCATTTTAGCACTATTTCCCAATAGACCATGTTTATCATGTGCCTTGGAGAAGCTGTGACCTCAGAGTTTAAACCACTGCATTGTTTTGTCCTCCAGCCCTACAACATTGAGCTCTGCATTAGGGATCTTCATTGTCCATGGTTGTTGTAACAAATTACCGCAAACTTAGCATCCTAGGGCTACAGGGATAGCTAAATGGTAAAGGGGTTTCCTGACATGTAAGAGCTCTTGGATTCATTTATCACAGGTACCCACAAAAAAGCACCTTAAAACACTACAAATTTGTTCAATGTGTTATTTCATAGGAATTAGACTTCTAGAATGAGTTTCATGAGCCGCTAGTAACCTGTGGGCAGGAAAATGCTTTCTCTGGAGGCCGAGAGAGAATACATATCCCTCCCTTTTCCAGCTTCTAGACTCTTCCTGCACTCATCCCCCATCTGCAAGGTCAACAGCGTGGCGCCCTCTAGTCTGTCTCTCTGTTTCTGGGTCTGTGTCCACTATCACAGCCCCTGACCTTGATGCTCCCGCCTCTCCCTGACACATAGACAGATGCTGCTAACTATCTAAGGCTCCTGGACACCAATCTCCCTTTTAACCACCCTTGTCATCATCGCATCTGTGAAGTCTTTTCCACAGGAGTGACCTCAGTCACAGGTTCCAGGAATTAGGGCACAGGTATCTTGCAAGGCGTTGTTCAAACTCCCACAGCAAGGAAGCCACACTGTCACTGTGAGACTTCTCCACAATCAGTAGAGTCTTATCAAAGCAGACTTCCTAACTAACCCCTTTTTTTATTTCCAGATGCAGAGAGACATTGTTTATGCAAGAGGAGATGGCCCTGGTGCCCCTCGACCTGGAGCCACAGCTCATCCACCCCACGCAATTCCCAGTTCTCCACCGCCCACTCCTGTGCCCCACTCCATGCCTCCTTCCCCATCCAGGATTCCTTATGGGAGCCCACGCCCCATGGTTATTCCCGGCAATGCCACCATCCCCAGGGACAGACTGTCCAGCCTGCCAGTCTCCAGGTCCATCTCCCCAAGTCCAAGTGCCATTTTGGAAAGAAGAGACGTCAAGCCAGACGAAGACATGAGTGGCAAAAACCTGGCGATGTACAGAAATGAAGGCTTCTATGTGGATCCCTACATGTATCACGAGGGACGGATGAGCATAGCTTCATCCCATGGGGGACATCCCTTAGATGTCCCCGACCACATCATTGCATATCACCGCACAGCCATTCGGTCAGCGAGTGCTTATTGTAACCCCACATTGCAAGCGGAAATGCATATGGAGCAGTCACTGTACAGACAGAAATCAAGGAAATATCCAGATAGCCATTTGCCTACTCTGGGCTCTAAAACACCCCCCGCGTCTCCTCATCGCATGGGTGACCTGCGGATGATAGACCTGCACCCACACCACAATGCCCACGGGACCCCTCACACCCTGCAGCCCGACCGCGCCTCCCCCAGCCGCCAGTCCTTCAAAAAGGAGCCGGGCACCTTGGTGTATATTGAAAAGCCACGGAACGCTCCCGGATTATCTGGCATTGTAGACCTTGGCCCTCCTCTAGTCGAGAAGCAAGTTTTTGCTTACAGCACTGCTACGATCCCCAAAGACAGAGAGACCAGGTAAGACGTGGGCAGACTGGGTGGCTGAGGGTAGTCTGCGTTGCTGAGGGCTGCTCACCAGCTCCTACCTGTGCCTGGTGGGGGCTGCAGAGGGTGCCAAGAGGCTTCCGTGTGACCATTTCCAGGAAGGGTTTTTGAATCGGTGGGCTTCAGGCAGGTACATCAGCAGCCACACTAAAGAGGACAGGTCTGTCCACAGCCAGATCTGTGAGGTGGGTCCCTGGTCTGTGGTCCTCCCCATGGTGTCATTAATGTAACTCTGATCCATTCTGAAGGAAATTGTGATGAACAGGAACCTTTTGGAGAAGTAGACCGAAAGCTCTTGATAATTGATCTGGCCTAAAAAAACAAGGAGTGTGTGGCTTACCTAGCTGGGATTGCAATTTGTGTTTTTGCCTTTAGAATGCAATTTTGTTTTCTTAACTGGTTTGGGGAAGTGAAAGAACATATCACTGCTGGTGTTCTGGGATGATAAGTAAATTTGCATGAACACAGAATGGTTTCAATGTGATCCTCTTTGAGGAGCGGTGCTGAAGTCCACAGAATCTTTCTAGTAAACAAGACATCGGGGATAAATTTCTTTTTAAATGTATACTTTTTTTTGTACTACGGATCGAACTCACAACCTGTGTTCACTAGGCAGGCACTTACACTGCTGAGCCAAATCCCTGGCCCTAAATATATATATATATATTTTAAACTTTCAGCCCTGACCTTTCCTTTTACGTTTTGAAAATACATCCCAAAATTTATAAAATAACAACAGAAAAGCAAATTTCCATAGATGGAATGTCTCTACCCTGCATTGGCTCAAAGGAAGACAACACAATAATTGTAATTATAGAAATGTGGTTCAAGAAATTGAAACCAAAAGAGGTCAGGCATTTTACCTGCTGCCACAGAAAAACCCAGAAGGTGTATGAAAAATAAAAATCAAATATTTAATTCCTCAGCACCTTCTGAGGTTCTGTGCTCCTCACTGAAAATGGTAATGCCACTTGCTTTCCCTAAGGTTCCGTAACCGTAGAAGAAGGCTGACCTCGCCGATGGAGTGTGAACGCACCTCACTGTGTCCATAGACAAGGCGCAGAGCCCTGCCCTCTGGCTGCATTTAGTCATGAGAGGCCAGCCCCCTTTATTTGTCCAGCCATAGTGCACCTCATGGCAGGAGAATCTTCAGACAATGGAACTAGAATTCATTTAAAGATCATTAATGCAACAACTAATTCAAACTCTCTCAGCTAGAAAAGCAGTTAAGTGGCTGACTTGATTACGTGGAACAAAGAAAAATTAGGAATTTGGAAGTAATATTTATTCTGTTACACAGTCCTTAGTAAGTGAACTTTCCTCCTCCCCCTGACCCCCCCACCCTCGGGCTGTACTAGAGATTGAACTCAGGAACTGGGCTACATTCCCAGCCTCTTTTTTTTTTTTTTTTTCCAATTTTTAGACAGGGTTTTGCTACATTGTCCAAGTTAGCCTCAAACTTGAAATCCTCCTGCCTCAGCCTCCTGAGTAGCTAGGGTTATGAGCATGTGCCACTGCACCTAGCTAGCACACAAAATTCTAAGAACCAGAGAAAGACACTTTTCTCATAACCATGGATACCTAAGGGGGTTGAGATATACATTCTAAGTGGGTCAGAGAGACAGAGCATTGTCACAACCAGAGAGGAATCTGCTAAGATGCAACACAGGCCTGAGAGCTTATACTGTATATTTTAAAGAAAGCTCCCATAAAGGATTCAAGATGCAGGGGGAGATGATGTTTTGATGAAAGGATGGGATTTAAATCAACAATAATTTTATCCTCTTATCCCAGCACTCAGGAAGCTGAGGCAGGAGGATTGCTTCAGTTCATAGCCAGCCTAGGCTATCTAGTGACTTTAAGGCCAGCCTGAACTACCTACAAGATTCTCTCTCTAATACATAAAAGTTGTTTTAAAAGATTACTGCTGCACCAATCTACACTCCCACCATCAGTGGAGCAGTGTTCCTTTTTCCCCCACAGCCTCACTAGCATTTGCTATCGGTTGATTTCTTAATGGCAGCCATTCTTTCTGGAGTGAGATGAAATCTCAGTACTGTTTTAATTTGCATTTCTCAAATGACCCGTGATGATGAACATTTCTTCATGTATTTATTTGCCATTTGTATATCTTCATCTGAGAAATGTGTATTCATCTCTAAGATGACAGTATGTAATTTATCAACTGGTGATTTCTTAATATTCTTTTTTATTTTGGAAATTCTGTAATATTTCTACGCTTTTTTCTGTTTTGCCTTTTTTCCTCTAAAAAAATCAATTACTGCTTACCTAAAATATACTGGCATTCCGTATTCTGACATATGATTATATTGTAATTAGGAATATAATTTTCCATTTTTCCTTCCCTAAAATGTGAAATATCAAGGAAAAATTGTATTTCACACATGTGGCCTGGGTGACTCCTCACCTGTTAATCAGCTTAACTCCAGGGTAGGGGTGAAAGGCTTGAGAGTATGTAGGCTGCATTCTGTTTTTCTGTAGCCAGACACAGGTACACACCACACACATACCACCAGGAACACACATGTACATGTTCACACCACACACGTGTACATGCACACCACCCTGGAACACACCCCACACTCCATGGTCATACACATGCACATTACACACACATATACATATGTACTCCACAGACACACACACCACAAAAACACACAGATATACCACACAACATTCCACAGATATGCACATACACATGCACCCCAACATATGTACACAGACATATACCACAGAGACACATATGCATACATACCCCATAGGCATGCACACCACACCCCACAGATGCACACGTACATGTCACACAAACATACACAGATACATACCATACAGACACAAAATATAAACATATACACACATGCACTTACACACCACAGACACACACCTAGAACTGCTGTGAGCAAAAGACCAAACCTCTCCTCAGCTAGGCTCAGTCACATGACAAGATGAGCATGATTCTCTGAAAAGATTTTGAACTCATACTCAGCCCTCCCAGCCCTCTCCCTGTTTCATCTGAACAGGTGAGAGCAGGGGGCATGCTGCCTGCCTCCTACCCCAGCACAATGCTGCCTGTGGCATTGAGCCCTTGCAGAGCTTTGTGAGCAGACCTTAGTGAGTCCTGCTGCTGTTAGTTGGCTACTGATGGCAGCTGTCCTCTCATAGGAGTCTTTCATGCACTAAGCACTATGTGAAGCAGTTTCTCTATACTGTGCGAGGTCACTGTCCTCCAACCCCTGAGGTACCTACTAATATCATCCCCACTTTACAGATGCAGAAACTGAGGCTCAGAGAGGTTACATAATTTAACCAAGGTCCTAGAGCCAGTATATAGTACAGAATGTCCAGGCCCATTACAGAATCCATGGTTTTTCCAGGTTGCGTTACTTTACTCAAGTGCCTGAGATCACTGAGCCTCACTTTCCCCCAGGGAAACAAATGCAGGAGTGAAATCTGAGCCTTTCAACCAAATCCTTCAAAAATTGTTTTAGGACTAGATGCTAAGAAACTGCTCCCAAAGGATATTTACAATCATAAACATGGTAGAATTTGCATAATTATACTGCTAAATATATACACGCCATTTAAAATATAACTGCCCTAGCAGTATATTAGCACAATTAAGCAGAAATAGGGAAAGGAAGAAGAGAACATTCTTGGTAGATTTTATTTTCAAAAACCACATCTGAGTACTGTGCCAAAGAAAAAACATTTTAAAACAAGAACACCAGAAACAATTACTGAAGTGCAAAATTATAGTCCATTGTCTTACTTACCCCATGACATTATTTTAGAAATATTTAATCTGTGTAAGTATTTCCTAAGAGCGTTCAACCCCTGAAAGTCTAACTTCATGAGTACAGAGTAGAAAGTGGCAAACCAGTTTCTCTTGCACTCTCATAATATTAAAAAGCAAATAAATCTGAGAGTGCTTTTATATGAGACTCTCAAGTGAATTTTACATCTAAGATATGAAGCTACAGAAACACGGGAGGAAGAAGAAAAATCTGTGGCTGTGCTTTGTTTTGGGCACGGCTGGATTTGTAGCTGTTCCAAAGAGCGCTTGAACGTAATAGCACAAATAACTGCAGGACATTAGAAATCAAAGAGAAACATTCTTTCTTTCCCATCCGTACTCAGGAGACAGCCAACAGCAGTAGCTCGTTGGATGGAACATGACTTTATAACAGCTCTGTTGAGGTAGAAATGAAGCGCTAAAGAGAAGTAGTTTAAACTTGATTCTGGTATTTAGTCATGGGCTTTGGCACCTCTTTTAAAATGCTTCAGTTAGCATCTAATTGTGACACGCTGTTTGTTTGGGGTTTTGGTTTGTTTGTTTTTTGTCTTTCTGAGACAGGGTTTCACTCTGTCATTCAGGCTGGCCTGAACAGAGTATGTAGCCCTGACTGGCCTCAAACTTGCAGCAATCCTCCTGCTTCAGCCTCCCAAGTGCTGGGATGACAGGTGTGTGTCTCCACCCAGCAGTAGTGACACACTGCATCAGGAAGGCCTGGAAACAGCAGTGGGTGTGGTGTGACATGTGACGGTCCCGACACCTTGGGGTGAAGTAACAAATCACAACCACCTTTGGGACAGCACATTTCTCACATCTGAGCTTCTGGAAGGAAGACAAGCTTGAGAATAAAGGTGGCTTTGCCTGCCCGAGCCCCCTTCAGCCAGGGGACTGTGAGAGTCCACTGAGGGAGACAGTATGAGAGAGAGAGAGCACGTGAGGCCCTGTCTTCCCTGGGTTATAAAATTACCCCATTACACAGCATCATTATCTCTCTCCATGCCACATAAAGCAGCCCTTAAGAATTGTAAAATTCCAGGACATTTATGTTTTGCTATTTTCTATTTGTAGTATGGATCATGTAGTGTAAAATATGTTCATCGAAATAACACTCAATTCAAGGGTGCTCACCGCAAAGTGACTAATAACTCTCCTTCCAAATGTGTAACAGACTCCTCCAAGTGGTATGCAATTTGTTATACACAGTAAACTCGAGCTGAGATTCTATTTTTACACTGTTCTGCCCCTCAAGCAGCTAAATGCAGCAAACTAGGAAAGCGTCACATGGAGAAGCAGCTCCTTACCCTCACTGAGCCTCTGTGTCTGGAGATGAAACCACACAAGACCTTGTTATGATTTCTGAGGCCTTGTGGACGTGGAGAGAGAGTCTCTTGCCTTGGGACAGTTAGAAAGAAGAAACAAAGCTGTGTAGAAAGAAAGCCTGTACGCTGTCCGTCTGCTTTTAATCATTTTGCATTACTTTTTCATTTTACAAGGATTACATGTTATTGTGTTGTTGGCTTTGAGAGGTGTAATGGATCCATGGTTTAGTAGTTGATAGAATGAAAGTTTAAATTTGGATTTCTGTCATTTAGACATATCCACTGTGACTGGCAGACCTTTGAAGGTTTTCTAAAGTATGTTTTACCCTGTTAGAGAGCAGTGAGTCTGAATGATCGAAGAGGATTGGGTTATTTTGGTAATTGTTTTCCTTTTGCACGGAGAGCCATACCAGAGTTCCCGAAGAGTTAGACTTGCGTCTCTCCCATACAGCGCAGTGCTGTGGACACTGAGCAGGATGAGCAGGATGACTGGAGATAGGTCTGTCCTGTGCCAAGCGGTAGCCTTTCCAGCCTCTACCCAGAGGATGCTGGGAGCAGACTCCCCCAGTCCTGCCCCTGTCATGACAATCAAAGGTGTCTTTACACCCTGTCAGCCTCCCAGAGAGGAGGTGTCCCTAGATAAGAAATAGCTGTTGTGAAGGAAATTTGAATTTTTTCTAAAACTTAGTGAAATAGAGAAGTGAAAGGTTACCTCATACTCAAGCAATATAAATTGTGACTTTCCTAAGACAAGGATCATGAAAATGACCACATCTGCCCTTTGCCTCCTTCGTAAGCCAATTCATTATTGATAGAATTTGCTGTCATTTTTTTCAATCCAATCAGTCTATCCATTAACCATTTATTGAGAGACAGTAATTCTACTGGACTTCAGAACCAGGCTGCCTGAATTCAAATCCCAATCCCAATAGTTGCTAGCAGCTGGGAGTCTTTGACAAATGATGAAAACTTATTTTGTCTCCATTTGCGCCCAGAGATAATTAGAGAGATAATATAAGAGTGACTACTTAATAGAATGCAGAAGGTATGGTGAGATGCATAAGAATTCCTACTTCAAGCAGTGCACTCAATGCTACTAACAAGGGAGATAAGGACACACAGATGGCCAGGACACAAGGCCACCCGAGGAGGGAGGGAGATGTAATTTTTAATGTAACAAGAAAGCACAAAAAGTTGGGTTGGAGAGTGAGGTGAGAGAGTAAAACGAAGTGTGAACAGTGAGTGAAATTACCAGATTATAATGATTCAAATTAGAATATTTGGAATATCAAAGCCACTTCCAAGTCCACATCAGGAGGATAATCAGGTTATGCATCCTCTTTGATGCAGGGACAAAAAGAGAAGCCGTATTTAGGGCATCTCTATAGGATCACATCTGAGCCACATGGTTGACAATAAAGGCCCCTTGCTGGGCTCGGTTGAAATTAGCAGGTCACCTGTTGAAGCCTCATCATGCCTGACTGACAGCTCCTACCTGAACTGCTTTGTCATGGAGCTCCCATACTGGATCAGTAAATTTTCACTCCTATGTGCTATGTGCTACAAAGAAACTCGAATGCAATTCCCATAAGTAAGGAACACAAACATTGGAAGTTTAATATACATGTCCAAGCTGCGCTGCCATTAAGATTGGGAGGCTTGGAGCTCTGAATGCCTGCAGAGTGCCCCTTTTGGAGGAATACCTACAGCAACTCAATGATTTCATTCTTGAAATTTCTTTCGGTTTTGATAATACTGGGGATGCTTTTCATCCTTAGAATGAGTGTCTCCTACAGAAACTGAGGGAAGGCAGGGAACTCTGCCAAGTCCAGTGCATCTCCAATGTGAAGCATGATCTTCTCAGCAAAATCCCTCCCCAGTGTTGCACAGTCCAGCTGGGAAGTTAGGACTTGATTTTCTTGAAAATGATGCAGAACAACAATAGGACTAATAACACATCGTGGGTTAAAGAGGCTTCTGTGGGCCAGCTGGAAAGCCAACCAGCACTTATTCCAAGTTCTAAACAATGGAAATGCAAGCAAACTTTTCAATTACCAGCCTACCATAATTTGGAGGACTGCTCATACACAATTAATTCCAAAGTAATGACACAGACAGTAATTTGCTAAGAATTCCAAAAAGAGAACACTTAAGTAAAGTTATGCTGGCCTGGGAGCCTTTATGCAAATATCAAGATGATTTGGAATTTAAGGGATATACATAGTGAAATAAAAAGATATCATTTGAGAAGATTGGACTTTATCCAAAATTTGCAATATTTTTAACATTATAGCACCTGTAAAAATGACATCACGATGTGGGTATATTTTTTCCAGTCTTAGAAATCAAATAAAGGCCAATAAATTGAATTATTACTTCATTCACAGGAGACTTCATGGTTCAGTAATATTTGCTGAGTTCAAGCTACAGATGTCTAATAAACACAAGTGACCAACTGACAGATTTACAATGATAGCATTACTCTTACACTAGAAATATTCTGTCCAAAATACCTAAGAATCATTACCACAAGGTCTGTTACTGCTTTAAGCCAATTTCTCAAAAAGGAAAGCCATCATCTGTCACTAATTAGATCAAATTAAAATGTGTTTCTGCATGTCCTTTGAATATTCAGGAGGTGCTGTCAATCAGGAACCTTCAATCTGAAACCAAAAATATAACCAGAGTTGTGTAAGTTCTGTGAGATTCAGATGGCTCCTCTTTCTTAACCACCACAACCTTTTAGGAGAGAAGCTGTTAGTTTAGGTGCAAATTCAGCCTGTTCGAAAGGTAGTAAGATGAGTTCAGTTTCTATAATCAGTGAGGCAGTCACCCAGCCTACAGTTGGGGTTCCTCTAAGTAGCCCAAAGTACAGCAGATAAATAATCCCAGTCTCTCATTACAGCAGGCCACATGTGAGCCTGTCTTATGATTAGTTGTCCTTCTGTCTGATGGATTTCAGAGAGAGTACCCTTGTCCTTATTTGAACTCTGGACTTTATTTTTCATGAATGACATGATTCAAAAATAAAACCAGATCTAAGCATTGACTCTGTCTTTCAAAAATGGCAGGTCTTAAAAAGTTTGTTGTGCGCATAATACTCATGAAAACAAGTCAGATGATCAGAAAATACTTCCTCCCACTCCTTGTTCACTCTCAGAGCTAAAGGCCTTGGAGAACACAGTGTCCTAAAGGCTGATTTTACAGAAGGCAAAACAGAGGGCATACCCGGAAGGTGGGGCAACTTGAAAATATTTCAGGAAATGATGTTTTCACCATCATGCTCTCTCCTTTTTTTCTTCTCTGTCTTTGTAACAGAAGTAGAAGGTAGCCTGGTCCCTAACTTCATCATCGTGCACAAGTAACTAGGAAAATAAAACAAAAAGAAATGCATTAGAGGCCACATACAGGAAATATCTTCCTTCTTTTTCCTAAGCATCATTATCTTACTTCTTTGGGTCCACCCTAAGATTGTACCCATCAAAAGCAGGTGGAAATGGGAAGCAATTTGCACAGCCACCTGAGGAATACTCAAGAGACTGTCTCTCCATGGCTTCTGACACTAGCTCGCATTCAGAGGTAAATTATATGCTGTGACAGCAACAAACAGTTGTTCCTACCAGTTTATACCTGTCTAAAAACTGAGGTGTCACTTCCACAGAATGCCTGTTAAAGATAGCACCCCAGGGGAGAGAAAGAAAATGCAAAATGGGTGATTTTATGAAGCAGGGTGCAGGCGTGCCTTGAGAAGCCGAGACATAGCCCGCAGGAAGTGAAGTGCTAACAGGAAGTAGGCGGCCAGTAGGAAGTGAAGTGTCCCACCCCAAGCAGTGCATGGTGACGCACAGTGTACTGGCCATGGAACTCCGGGGGCTACTTAGCTATGCTTCTGAAACAAACTTCCCAGTGTCCTTCCCTGACGATGATCACTATGACTTCTCAAGGGAATCGCACAGTTTAAATGAAAATAGATGCAAAAGCACTTTATAAGTCAGGAAGTTCTCTAGACATAAGAGTTTTATAAATATAGAACTATGAAGCCCTCTCATCATCGTGGCCATTCGGAACTGTGAGATGAACATGTCCTTGTCCTTGGCTTGGAATCACTTTCTGGTTCCAACCAGAACAGCCTGCACAGAAAGTAAATTATGAAACAGATTAAAGATTACCTGGAGCAGTTCCTAACCCCATTTTCTGTGCCCAGAAAAACTGTGTTGGAGCTTCAGAAGTTGTGCCTGTTGGGAGCACCAGGCTGGGTGTGGCTGAGCTTTGCCCTGCTTACCTGGCCTGCCACACCCCACTCACCCCCCCCCCACACACACACACACCTTTATTTTTTCTGCTTTGAGCAAGATTACAGAACCAGAACAGAAAGAACTATAGGCCTAAATGAGTCTTTTCCAACTAGAAAAATTCTGAGTCAGGTCAGATTTCAGATATATTTTTTGTGGGGTGGGCATGCGACCATGGGTATCCCCACCCAGCAGGGAGTGGGAGCCTTATGAGATACTCTGTCCTCTGCATGCTGAGACCTTCAGCTTTCCATCCCTGTAACAAAATACTTGAGATAAATACCTTAATAATAGAAAAGGTTTATTTGGACTCACAGTCTTTTTGCCCTTTTGCTTTTGTTTTGTACATCACAGAGTATGTGACAGAGGAGGCGTGGTCACCTTATGGTGGCCAGGAAACACAGGGAGCCAGGATAAGGCCAAAGTCCCAGTGTTCCCTTCAAGGGCCCTCCCCAGCAACTGAAATTTCCTCATTGTACCCCATCTTCTGAAGTTTCCACCACCACCCAGCAGTGCCATGAGTTTGGGACCTTTCAAGCTTCAAACTGTGGCAGCCTTGTGTGTGTCTGTGACAAGCCCCACGTTGTTTTCACTGGCTTCCCTGGTTTGAACTTGTCAAGGACTTTCCTTCCTCGCATTTGTTGTTCCTTCTTCCTTGCATATTCCTGAAGCAGACATCCACCTGACTGCTTCCTCTCCAGCCTCTGTTCAATGCCGCCGGCTCAGAAAGGCCACCCCTGACCATCATGTGTGACATCACATCAGCCCCACCACACCTGTGTATACAAATGATATCAGCAAATAAACAATGCATACATACTAAATATAAAATGTGTTTATACATTTATATATGTGCATATATATATCTTATTTAATTATCACTAATGTCACCCCATAAAATGTAAGCTCATGAGGACAAACCTTTTTTTATTTACCACTATAACGCCAGCACCCTGAATTGTGTCTGGTACATGGTCAATGCCCAAGAAATATTTGATGAATGAACTTCAAGAGATACAATGAAGCCTTACGTTTCTACAGCACTTCCCAGGTTAAGTTGGTGCACACGTTTCCTCATTAGCCTTCATTACCCATGGCTCTGTAGAATGACAGCCTTTGATTAGATAAGGCAGTTGTTACACTTGATGTTTGAGGAAGCTGGGACACTCAGTGACCTAGGAGTGGAGATTCCGGTCTCCCCTTTGATGTCTAGTAGGCAGCTTGAATGCAGCATGTCCGGACATGAACTCCTGTCTTCCACTTCTTGCATAATGACAGCTCCATTCATCCAGGCCCATTGGCCCAAAGCCCTAGTGTCATGCTGTCTCTCCCACCCACATTTGGACACCAAGAGATACAGTTATCTCTGTGTGCACAGATATCCTAACTCTAGCTACTGCGCTTGCCCTCACAGCGACTGCCTCGTGGGGTCAGCACCCTCTCATCCAGTCTCTCCCATGGCCCCTGAGGGGCTCTATACAATTTATGTTCTCTTCAGTTTTCTTTTATTGCAGAGGCCAAGAGGAGAGTCCTTGCTCATGAATGCAAGACTGCATGTGTCGCTCCTTGGCTCAAACCTCTCCCCGTTGGCTCCCATCACATTCAGAGGCAAAGATAAAGTCCCCCAAATCACACACATCTGGGGAGAACACACTCCCAGCTGATTTGGAACCACTTATCCCTGGTGTCCTCATGCAATTACAGCTTCATTTTTCATTTTGAAAATTACCCTCATTTTGCAAGATAAATTTCAGGACCCTCCTCCCCATAAGCTCAGACAAAGCCAATTCTGCTGCTGTCCTGGCCTTAACTCCTGTGACTCCCTTCTTGTTCGGTTGGCTGAAGCCCACTGGCCCCTCAGCCATTCCTTCCCCTCTACCTGCCCTGGTGTACACATGTATATATGGCTCATACTCTCACTTCCTCTAGGTCTTTCTTAGTGAAGCCCGCTGTACTCACTCAAAGTACAACAGCCCCTTGCAAGTGTCTTGCAATATATTTTCCTTCCTATTCATTGGCATCTGATTGGTTTGTTACTTACTTTGCTTATGGTATGAAGACTTTGACCTCCATGCAGGCAAATATTGTGTCTGGATTGTGTACTTCTGTGTCTTGGTTGCTTAGAACACTACCTAGTCAAGAGCAGTCACAATAAATGTTGATTGAATCAGTGGGTGAGAGAAGAGTCACACCTTTGTGTGTCAGTCCTGGTCACTGGTTTGGCTCTCACTAGATCTAGCAGGTTGGTGCTGCTTTGCTCACCCTAGCCTTCTTGGAATACCATTCCGTTTTCCTCCTTCCTCTTGTTCCTCTGGTAAAGTACTACCATTTTACCAGCTTCTTGCACATGTCACTTCTTATGAGGAGTTGCCCTTCTCCAGCTGACTGCTCTATCTCCTCCATCATCCAGAACTTAATTCACAAAGGTGAGAGCATAGGAACTATATTGAATCCTGGTTAGACACTTGTGCCCCCAAGCCAGGTCATCTGAAACCTGGATCTAGGAAACAGATGTTAGCATCCTGGGCTCCGAGCATCTGCCACAGTGCTCACACCCACAGGGCTTGTTGAATAAAATTCATGTTTTCACTGTTTCCCAAGGACTTTATGAAATGAACAGTATCAGTCACTAGTGTGTGCAGAAGCATCTGTTGGAGGGAACACCATACACTCCACAGCGTTCCCTCCTCATATCCCATTACAAACTTTCATTCTCGCTACCTGGTACATTTATGAAGAAAGTTTTGAAATAGATTTCTTTCCCCAGATCCATATAAACATGTTTTCCTTTTGGCCTGCTTTTGAAGCAAAGTATCCTAAAATGTGTTTATCTTCATGGATCATAAGTCTTCATGCAGAGCATTTCCAATGGATACTTCTGGTTTGGTCACTGTCGGTTTCGTAACAGCCTCATGAGAGGATTCCCCTACTACCTCCTGACACATCACCTAGAGGAAATGTGATGGGGAGATGTCAAAGGGACATAGGGATCATTTCTTCCTGTTTACTGCCTTCCTCAGTCATTCAGAAAGCTATATCAGTCCAGAATGAGAACAAGAAGGCCAGGACAGAGCCCAGAAGCAAGAAAGCCCTGTCGAGATGGTGGTGAGGGACTATGGGGTCCACATTAAATGCTACAGTTGGATCTGAAATGTCTCCTAAATGCATATATGTTGGTGGGTTAGTCCTCAGCTCATGTGACTGTTGGGATAGTGGAAATATTAAGAGGTAAGACCTACTAGAAAGGGTCATGCCCTTGAAGGGGATCTTGGGGCCCCAGCCCCTTCCTCTCTCTTTGTTCTCAGACACCATAGATAAATAGATCTCTTCTGCCATAGATGCCACACCATAATATACTGTGCTGTCACAGTTGCAAAACAACAAGGCCAAGTGCCCACGGACTAAGACTTCTGAAACCATGAGCCAAAATAAACCTTTCCTCCTTTTAAATTTTTTTCCCCAGGTATTTTATCACAGTGACAGAAAGCTGACTAACATACCAAGGAGTAGGAAAAATTCATAGGGATTCACCAGACAGTATTGGCAGCTGATAATAAGTTAGTGAGGCCAGAATGTGTAGGTAAAGGGCTGGTTTGCATGAAAAAAAGGATTTGAAGGTAACAAAAGATTGCTTTATTTAAGAAAGATTTCTTAAGAGTTTCAAATTCAAGCAGGAGAGCCATTTCAGTTGAGAATTCAGGAATAGAACATGACCGTAAGGAAGAGTTTGAAAATCTACAATGCCAGATTTCTAAAAGGGTTATCAGTGGGAATGCTGAAGTTTCCAAAGACAGTGCACTGGGATGTGTTAGTCAGGAGAGCAGCTTCCCTTGTTAGAATTGTCCAAGGATGTGAGGGACTTTCCTGGCTGCTGGAGGGAGCCTTAAGGAAAAGCAAATCCAATTTCAGAAGAAGGAGATACACTGAGGTGAACCAGAGTCCTAGCAGGGAAGACAGAATGCTCCCAGTCTTCCTGTGCACTCCATGAAGGAGAAAGCAAAGGGAGACATAGCAGCCTTCAACCACCAGCTCCTTCAGTGTCTTCTCACCGAGCTGGCCGCTCAGTCCACTCTCCAAGGCTGTGGGAAGACACCAGAGAAAATCAGTGTAAAGGCAGGAGGTTTGTTCGTTTGTTTTCAGTTTTTATGTGTTTGCGGTGCATGTTTGCATTCCTTGTGGGGAGCTGATACATGTCCATGACACATTTTATTTTTTCATTGTCCCTTTCCCCTCTTTCCTTTCCCCTTCCATCTCCTGCTCCTGTTCCTGTTTATAGAACATCTGTCTCCTTTTCCTGTTGTCTATCCGTTGTCTATCCTGTTGTCTAAACCATGCAGTAGTTAAGCTTGCATATCAGATTTATTTTATTTAACATCATGGTCTTAAGGTGCACCACAGAGAACACCAGGCCAGAGAAAATATACACTTCAAAGACGAATCCCCCCTTCCATCTGCTTCCTCCCTCTAAACCCCATTTCCTAGAGTTTCCACCTTTACAACCCAAGGACTGTCTGCCGATGGCCAAGCTTTCATCACATAAGCTTTAGGAACTTTTTGGGACAATGTTTTCAGTTACGTACCTTTTATTTTTCCAATAAATAACTTTGGTCAGAAATAGAAAGATCATGGCCCAGAGTAATAGATGAGGCTTTGCCACGCATTCTGATCATTTGCATTCCAGTGTGTTGCTAAACTCATCTAAAACCGGTGTTTTTAATTACTTCAGGATTTTCATACTATAGAATCAGGATATGAACAACAAGACCATAGCCTAGCATTAAACTTGTTTACTAAATAGTTCTGGAAAATACCTTCAGTGCTGCCAAAACTAAAAAGATTTTCATTCAGTTCAATTTCTCCCAGAGAGAAAATATTGATATTGTAAAAGGAAGATGCTGTTTAGGAAATGGTGCTTTCCTGCACCCACAGCAGTTACTGTGGCACCTAGCATGTATTATTGGCTCAAAAATATGTGCTGAATGACTTACTAGCCATTCATCACAGTCTGGGGGGAGAGAAATGAGAGAAAATGAACAGGGTGTTAGTGAGATTTCCACTGCTGTGACAAAATACCTGAGCTGAACAACTGAAAAGGAGGAAACGTTTATTTAGGGTCATAATTTCAGAGATTTCAGTGCATGCTAAGTAGATGCTGTCGCTCTAGGTCTGCGGGGAGACAGGACGTCATGAAGGGAAAAGCATGTAGAGCAAGGCTGGGAAGTTAAGAGATACCAGGGTCCCAGGGTCCTCCACCCCTCACTCCCAGTGCCTTAATGTCCTTCCACTAGGACCAGCTCCTATAAATTCTGCTATCTCCCAACTGAGCCACAGGCTGGCAACCCGGCTCGTAACACAAGAGCCACTGGCGTATCCCTAAGACTCAAACCATATCAGTCAGGAGTGGAACAGAACCACAAAATATTAGAATTAGAAGCCAATTTTGGGGGCCACCCAGAAGTACTCGGTAATTGTTTCTGACTGTCCTATGCCTCTGCCTTTCAAAATTAATAAAGTTAATGCTTTGACCTAAAGCTAATCACGTCAGCTCAGTTGGCTGGTTTTAGCCTGCTCCTCTCTATCTCTTTTGGATATTTAAAAATATTTCCTGTGGGATTCATTATAGGGGAGCTGCCAGACTCACACTTGTTACAGTGTTGACTTGATTTTTAATAACCATTCATTTACTTAGCTGTACAAGGATAAGGACCTAATTTAGATTTAATGAGGCTTTGGCCAGTATAAAGGCATATCCCAAGTCAAAAAATGTTGAAGGTGAAACCTTAAGTACAAAGTTATATAAATGGAGACATTAGCTAAAAATATTTCCCCCAAACACAGGTTGTTTTGCTTCCTTCCTTTAAAAACAGACTTAGCAGCTCAAGAGCCAACAGGGTTATCACTTCAGTCTCCAGGAGACACGGAACTAGCAGGCAAGCTGGTCACAGCAGTAGCAGAAACCGGGATCCACACTTTCCCTGAATTTGACTTAAATTTTCTATTCAGATTAGGTTTGGGTCTCAAGAAGATTCATTCAGCCAAGATGAATTATGGCAGTAAATGACTAGTTAACTGTACCTCCTAATCACATAAACGTGGTTTATGGAGTGATATAAAATGGTTTACGAAATCATTTTTGAATCACCTTTTCAACAGTAATTATACCAGTCCTGTAACACCTTCAACCCAATGATACTGGCATCAATTCACCTAAGCATCTTTAATATTCTGGTGATTATCATGCAGAATTGCCAGCCCAGTAAAAGGACGGGGTTGTGTTTAATTTCTCTTCTTCCACTGCATTTCTTTTACTTTTTCCTCTTTCACATTAAAGCATACTTCATAACATTTCATCATGGGAGAAGGCTGCGTAAGTTTCCAGTTGCTGTAATTTAGTTAAACCATAAAATTGTTTCCAGATTACCAACCATGAAATGGAAAGACAATCTTATTTATGAATTTATAAATCAGACAATCTCCCTCAAATGAATCCTGAAACCAGAAACACTTGGATGATTAAATAGGGGAGAAAAAGTTTTCTCATTACTGCATGTCAATAGAATTGTATTTTCCTAAAGTGGTTTTAGATGAGGCACTGTTGCGCATGTGTGTGATTGGCTGTGTGAGCGTGGCTGCCTCTGCAGTGGTCAGAGCTGCTGCTGTTGGGCTCAGGTATCTCACCTCTGGGGAGGGTGTCCCGGGAACAGTCGTCTGACTCAGTGTCTGATTCCTCGTGGTCTGCCGGTGACAGCAGCCAGAAGAGGCCTCCTAGGATCATGCCTTACACACAGATCCTGAAAGGAACACAAAGCTCCTGCTCCCTGAACTGGACATAGGGCTTTTCCTCCAGAGCATCCAAAGTCACACCCCAGGCAGTTCCACAGCACTGTTGTTATCCATCCTGAATGAGGAGTGGGATGTGATTTGGGAATTATCTTTATCCAAATCCTGAAATTGTCTGGGAAAACCCAAGGGAAAAGCCAAGCACTCATGGAGTCCAGGAAGATGCCAAAGGCATGTGTGAAGCCCGTGGCCCCTCGTGGACATGACCCATCTGTGCAGTCACATTCCATTGTTTATCCACAATTGGGGACTAGCCGAAGATCAGTGTCCTCTAATCAGAGCCACCCCATTGCATTGCTTAGGTTTTAATACTTCTGCTGCTGTGCTTTGTTGGACAACATGGCAAAGGCTATAGACTAGAAGGGTCAGAAACAATACCAGGTCCGACCTGTCAGCACTGTATCATGGGCAGAATTGAATCCCAGCACTTAACTTCTGCCATTTCCCTCTTAGCAGATTTTTGTTTATTTTTTACAGCTATAGATCCACTTGTCTGTTGCATTTCTTAATATTGTTGTCTCTGTGTGCTTAAATTATCATCCTGCCTTCCTGCCTCACTCAGTTGCTTTAGGCCAATTCCTAACCAAAGCTGTATGGATCCTAGAAACGCCATGCCACTTAAAGAAAAATAGTGCTTGCCTAAGACTGAATAAAAGCAACCAACTTGTATTCACCTCCCACCATGGGTCATGAGTTTTACTTCAAGCAACTGCTGTGGACCTGTGGGATAGATAAGGGTACTGAGCAACTCCTACCCAATACTAAACATGTTCCCCAGGGAACTCATTTGTTTCCCAAGAGTGTGTGTGAGACCATGTCTCTGCTGGGGACAGACAGTCTGATTGGCCACCAACCCCATCATTTCTGAGGTCCTGCTGTAACCAGGGTCAATAAATGAGTTTTTACTGACTTGTTTCTCCTGCTTGAATTTCTTACTGATTTTTCTCTGACGCACTGACCATCTTATAGGAATGAGGAGGCCAAGAGCACAGGTGTAGCTGAAAATACACTTCTGTAACTCAAAGATTTGGGATCTCAGCGTCCCTGGAAACAGTTATAAAGCCACTCTATATTACCTGCAGATGCATTTCCATGCTTACCATGTGAGATTTTTTCTTTCTACTCCATTAGAACAGAGACATCATAATAGTAATAGTTTCATTTTGGGTCAGCGTGAGTTTACGATCATTAACTCTCCTGACTGCATGAGTTACATCCAGGAAGCTTGGTACTGTGACAGAACCATCACATTTGCTAAAAAAAAAAAAACCTAAACGCATGAAATTCTGAAGTCAGAAGCTTGTAATTGCAAAATCAAACTTCACATTCCATATTGCACTAAAGGTTATATTCTGAAGGTAAAACTCAAGGCCCTGAATGTCAAAAATAATCATTCACTGTGAAGTTCAGGATACACATCTAGCATAAGAAGTTGCTTTTTTTCTCATGGAAGAACAGATACTTTTGCATTGAGTACCTGAAAAAGTAGTTGAGTTGTATTTAAGAGCTATGGCATATGCCTGCTATTTATCCCACAGGATTTACCGTCACCACATTTGGTGGCCAAGGCACTGAGACCAAGGTGCTCGCTTAGCTCGAGCTCACACTAGCACACCTGGCAATGGGGTAGCATGGCAAATGAGATGCCCATACCATTGAAACCCTTCTCTCTCTTCCTTTCTGTTTTTGACTACCAAGTAGGTGCACATGAATTCACAGGACACTGTCTTCACTTAATTGTGCTGTTGCTTTGATAGTGTACTGGTATAGTGAAAACAATAGTTCTGTAAAGCAACCATTGTTTGAGGCCCAGAAATGTGAGCCTATTTCAGATATCTGATGCGACATCAAAAAGACCCAAAGAGAGAACAATGTAGTATCTATCCATCATCAATAACCAGAGGAATGTTTTATTAATGCCTTTGGATGATCAAGTTGTTACAGATACTCGCTTTGCTATTTGATCCTATAAAATCCTCCAGGCTAGAGTTTCTGATATTAGATTGAACACCATCTATTCTCAAACCTCAGTTGATGTCGGTCATCTGAGTAAGAGACATTTGTGTTGCCCTTGGGCTATAAAACAAGTATAACTACACATACAGCAAACATCTCTATCATTCACTCCAAAATCAGTTGGTGGCCTGCTAGCTGAGAAGCACGACTTCAAGATGTATGTGACTGCAGTATCTGACCTAGGGCCTTGTTGGTCTCAGGGAGGAGCCCTTTTTTGCAAGCTAAAATGAAAGCAGGGCAGAAAGGCTCAAAAGCAAATGATGCACCAACAGAAGTGTATACTAGCGAGATGTTTCCAAGAGGTCTCTGCTGGTCTGCACCACATGTTTTTGTTGTGACCACTTGTTTAATCCTCACATCTGGTCACTCAGTCTTGATTGCAGCCAAGCACTTGTAGGCTTAGTTTCCTGAACCAGGCTGTGGTGAACCTGAGTGGCAACTTAGTGGTACCTTTTAGAACCTTATAATAATCAGGTGGATCATTCGCCTAGAAAAATCAGTCTAAAAGTCAATAGAGCTTTAACAAACAATTCTCTTGTTTTACAGAGAGAGAATGCAAGCCATGGAGAAGCAGATTGCTAGTTTAACTGGCCTTGTACAGTCTGCGCTTTTTAAAGGGCCCATTACAAGTAGTAGCAAAGATGCATCTAGGTAACAAGAACAACCAATCAATTAAAACATAAGCCAACCTGTTTCTCTTTAATCATTAAGATCATTCATTCATTCATTCAAATTTGTTTCCTCGCAATCATTTCAAGGCTGAAAACATTCATGTCTTTATGATTCTTGGGGTTTGTGATGTTTTGTTGATCTCTGTCAATTCTTGGACAAAGGTGACACTTTGGCCCAAGAAGGGTCAGTGAGTGTCTCGGTGCATGGGGCTTCATGGACCACTCACTGCGCAGTGCCTGCACCACCACCACTCGTGCCCGCCTCTGCCACCATCTGAGTCACCCGTGTGTTCCACCGCACCTACCTCAGTGTCTGACGCGCACCTGGGAAGCCTTTTCCTTTGCAGCCAAAATATCCTCATGGCTTAATCCCATCATCGCTCATTGCTTAGAATACTGAACAGAAGTGGGAAAGAGGCATTTTGGAAAATAGCTGACTTTGTTTTTCTTTTATTCAGTGAGAAAGTGATGAAAACCACAGCCAACAGGAACCACACAGACAGTGCAGGTAAGTAAGTGTCCTGAGAGCTCTAGCAGATGTGGAGGCTGCCTTCCATCAGCCTGGCTGGTTTCAGAAGTAGCTGACCTTTCCCCAAGCTGCTGACTTGGCAGGACATCAGAGGCTTCCAGGCTAACTCCCTGTACCACTGTAGCTTCCTGAGAATGCCAGAATTCTGAATGTAGTCGTTATTGGGTGAATCGTTGTCTTCTCCCTTCAGTTTTCATTCATTCACTGACCCATTCATGTATTTACTTATATGACTTCACATCCATAATCTACTGATATGTGTGGTACTGGGACAGTAGGTAAATACTACAAGCATCATTCCAAAACACCTGTGTGGAACTTTGCGCTCTGGAGAAGCTGAAAATAGAGTGAGATGTTTTACATGTGTTGTGTTAAGAACACCCTGTTCAACCAACAGTTTAAGCATCCTCCTGAGGATGTGATGCAGAGCGAGTGCAAAGGTGGAGAGACGTGGGGCAGGGAAAGGGGGGTGCAGGTGGAAGGGCCCAGGTACTACTCTGTGTGCAACATGAAGCTGTGGGAAGGCCACTGGGGAAGGACAACAGCCCAGCTCCCACATAGGAATGAATGAGAAGGGACAAAAGCAAGTCGGGAGCAGTCTGTGATCTGGGTATGAGAAAACGGTCTTCGTTGGATCAGGGCCTACTTTTGAAATGCTAGCATCCCCCTTGCTTCTCCTGAAAGGACTGTGTTGACAGTGTTCCATCGCTGTGACAGTGTACCTGAAAATAACAGTTTAAAACAGTGCAGAATTAGCCGGGCGTGGTGGCTCACGCCTGTAATCCCAGCAGTCGGGAGGCTAAGGTGGGAGGATCCTTGCGAGTTCGAGACCAGCCTGGGCTACAAAGTGAGCTCAAGGCAGCCTGAGCTGCATAGCAAGACCCTGTCTCAAAAAAGACCCAAAAAAAAAAAAAACAGTACAGTATTGATGATGACCAGGGTTTCAGAGATTTCGGTCTGTGGTCAGCTGGCTGCATTGCTTTCAGCCTGTAGTGAGGCAGAAGCTTCACGGCGAAGAGCATGGTAGGGCAGAGCTGCTCATCCCATGGTAGCCAGGAAGTAGAGAAAGAGTGGGACAGAGCCTGAGAGGAGACCAGGCACCAGGTACAGTCCCCAGGGCCCCTGCCTACATCCCACTCCCTTCCACCAGGCTCACCTCCACCTTTCCATCATCACCTCTCAGTGTCATCATCAGGTCACTCACTCATCGATGAATTAATCCTCTGGTGAAGTTAAAGCCCTTAGGATCCAACCCCTTCCAAAATCACTGCAGCTAACCACCCAGCCTCCAGCACACGGCCCTGGGGCACATTTTAGACCCAAACCATGACAAGGATAAGGTGTATCTCTAGCAAGTGTCCTTGTGTCCTGGATTCCTAAGAATGAAGCCTTTTCCTGCAGTCTCAGCAAGGCCCCTCTCAAGATGTGACCTTTCCTTCCCTGGGTTTAGAAATAGAAATCCCAGAAAAGATATGTCCAGAAGCCAAATTACACAGAAACATATGGCAAGTTGGGTGAAACCCTTAATTTTGGGAAGCCGCATTGACTAGTTTTGCATAGCATAGTTCAGTGGACAGAATTTGGAGCTTAGAGCCCCTCTTGGCTCTGGTTCTGTGCTAGTTTAGCTTCCAATCCAGCAAGGCTGTTTTTCCAACAGCTTGCTGAGCAATCAATCAGTGGCCTTGGCTGAAGCCAGACAATTATTTCATCAAAATTGCTAAACTTGCCTGCAGAGGAATTGCCATTTTGTTCTGGAGATATTTACTCATTCATTTATTTTCCTATTTGTTATGAACTTAGGGGGGAAGAACAGAATGTACTAAATGCTAAAGCCCTCCAGCTCTACAGAGCCTATTCTAGAACTGATTGTTGTCTAATACCATTGTCCTGATCATTATGTACATGCTGATGTGTCCTCTCCTTTTCACTGTTTTGTGAAATAATAATAGAAAACATTCAACGAGTACTTGCTATGATCCAGACACTATCCTTTGTTTTTTAAAAGTATTAATGCTCTTATTTTCTGACTGCAATCTCAAGGAATTCATATAATTTTAATCTGATGCTTCAGATAAAGAAACTGAATACATTCCAGCTCATGTGACACCTGTTTGTGTCATTGACACACCTGTCATTTTATCTCATTCTTTATGTTAAGATACTCCTGTCTGTTTGAGAGATATATGAAGTTATTTCATTTCTGTTTTGAAAAGTTTTGTAAATGTCTTTTTTGAGCTGGGGGAGGGACAGGTGTTTTCTTGGATCTGTTTCCCAAAATGGAAAAAGGGAAGAGCAGGTTACTGGCACTGGTCACCTGCTGCCAGCTCTCTCCTCTGAAAGGCTGAGCTGGTTAGTGGTGCTCCTGGCAGCATCCATGTGTCCTTGCTCCAGGTCTCTGCTGAATTTGGACTTTCTCATTCTAACATATCAGCCTAGATATGGTCCTGAGGAGTTCTGTTGCCATAGCAGCCTAGGATGGTGCACAAAATACATTAATTCTTCCAGCATCCTTGGAAGTAAGTCGCAAGACAAGAGGTCTTATACCTGTCCTATAGACAAATACACAGAATTATATAGACATCAAGAAACTCACTGGCCACAGGGAAATCCACCTGCTGGTTATGTCAGAACATGAAGGTTGTTGTAACTGTAGGAGAATAGAAGGAATCTCTCACTTCCAAAATATAGCATGCATCCTATACTGTGAATATATCATGTGGTGCATGTAATGCTATAAAGGAAGCATGTTCCTCTCCACTGTTTACCTGGAAATGGGCTCATTTAAAGCCACACAGTTACTAAGAGCTACAGCCAGTCTTGCCATATCTCAAATCTATGTTCTGTCACAAGATACACTAAGTCCATGTCCAAATGTATACTTACGATACTCACAGTACTTACAGATAAGGGGCCAGAGAGAGTCTGCTACTGGGTTCCTTGTCCAAGGTCATATGCCAGCAGGTGGATGCTAAGAATGATTCAGAGGTTAGGGCCCAGGAATTAGCTCAGTGGCAAGTACCTGACTGGAAAGTACAAGATCATGTGTTCTATCCCTGGTACAAAAAAAAAAAAAAAAAAAAAAGATTCTGAGGTTTCTGGCATAAATAATTGAGCAGAATAGTTCACTGCCTAAGATTCAGTCTAGTGGCACAGAAAGAGGTTTGGGAGAAGTGAGGGGAATGATGAATTTGACCTGCTTGTGGGAATACCCATAGTGATTTGAATCTGTTGGTATGTAGATCTGAAGATAGCTGGATGTGATCACATGGGCAGGCAAGGGGGCAGAAGTGGTCTTTCTAGGAAGCATGACCAGTAAAAAGACAGGCTGCCTGCTACAAAGCATGCTGGGACTTCAGAGCTTGCCAGAGAAAGGGAGTAGAAAAGAGATTGACCAAGAGAAAACATGGATGGAAGAATACAGGGGAGAGGACGATTCTGGAGTGACTGACTGGGGAAGAGGGACACATGAATGTTGCCAGTGGCATCTCTGCATAGCATCCATTGCATGGACAACTAGCTCATTAGCCCCTAACCTACAAAGAGCCACTTCCGTGAATGGCAGAGTTGGCCACCAGTGGGTTTGTTAAGAGGTTACAGGTGAAGACATCTTAAAAATGAGTGTGAATTCCATGAGAAATTTGGCTATGAAAGATAATTTTTAAACCCAGTTATTGGCATTCAACTCTAGCAGGACTTGAACATCTTTTCTGTAAGTATTAAAGGTTATGATGGTGCACTGCTGCCCTCAGAATGGGTAAAGCATAACTAAGGTCAGAGAATTGATTATCTTCATTTGGCTGAGGAATTAGCAGATCCTTATTTATTACCAACAGAAAGTGGTTAGCGAGCATAGTGTCATACCTGTTGGGGACCTCAATGAACGTATTCATTATATCAATGATATCATGTGGTGTGAGTCCCTGCATGCATCTGCACATGTGTACACGTGCTTTAGACGTGCATAAACCCACATTTTAACCTGGGTATAGGCAATGACAATTAATAATTTGACTGATTCTAGAAGAAAAGTTTCCAAGACTGTGACCCTGCCTCAGACCTTGGAAGCACTGAATTAATCCTAACAAAAAACTTGCTGTGTGGACTGCTAGCGTTCCTTTGTAAATCCTTTATAGTGCCTTCTGATCTGCTCTGCTGGCTTCCCCAGGGGGACCTCAGAGGGCGAGGAAGAGACAGCTGTATTTGGATAGTCACTCAGGGAGAAGAAGTTGGTGTGGCATCAGCTCTCCTTGGTACTGCCAAGACCTAGAGCTAGAAGATAGTCGCAAGGCACCGCTTCACTCATTGCATATCACCTTTAGCCCATGGTCACAACTCCACAGAGTCTCTGCAGAGTTGTGTGTGCTGGGAAAGAAAAGGGTCCCCTAGCTCCTGCACTAGGATGGAAAGACAGGCCACACCCAGGGAACCATTGCAGAGTGTGCCAGTCAGTGGCAGATTCTGCTCAGTAAGGCCAGTCTGGCCTGGCCCAGAGATGCCAGTCTCCTTTATGTGAAAGATCTGTGTGTGTGTGTGTGTGTGTGTGTGTGTGTGTGTGTGTGTGTGTCTGCTCTAGGGGCCTGTGCCAGACAAATCTGTGGTCTTGAAAAAGAGACAGTGCTTACTTTTAATTCTCATACCTTAAACCTTGCTGAGCCTATAAATTCTACTTGCATTTGGTATGTTTAATGAAGATAGAAAAAAAAAACAGGAAGAGAGGGAAGGAGGGAGGCAGGCAAGCAGGTCTCTTCATAGGGCACAGTGTCATCTGTGCGCTGTGGTCTGCCATCCGGTGACACCAAACTTCTAGAATGTGATGTTCATAGACTGCGTCCCTTAACACTGCATGGCTTACTGTTCTCCGTAATGAAGGAAAGGGCATTTTAGGGTTTCCAGCCATCTGTGTTAGCGCGGGATTCATAGCTCATCAGACTTCTTCCCTCTCTGCCATCCTAAGGTCATGGCTGCTCTTTTCCATAGGCACACCCCACATTTCTGGTGGGAAGACCCTGGGTGCCCCAGAATCCACGACGCCCTCCAGCCAGCTCCTGCCTGCCAGCACCTCGGCCGTCCATATGAGCCTGCTGGACATGAAGCGCAACGTGGCTGAACTCAGGCTCCAGCTGCAGCAGATGAGGCAACTGCAGGTACAGCTTCCTTACCTCTGACCTAGCTGGCCCATCAGCTTCTCCACTCCCATCCTCCTGATTCCTGCCATCTTCTGAGGCGCTTCCTACCATCCGTTCCCTAGGGGCTCATCAAAGAGCCAGAGCACACAACTGTAACGAGCAGCTTCCCCTCCAACCCATTACCCCGGTCTAGAGCTTTTTACTGTAACTACACTCGCTGTATACCCACCTCTTTGAGCGGTGCATGCTCTTCCATATGGAAAAAAAATTTTAGAAGCTTCAGCATCTGCTTTTGGAAGCGTGCAGAAAGGCGAGGAGCCCCAGGGAACATCCTAACAGCCGGTGATGGCGCCAGCCCACTGTGTGTAACAGGCTCCTTCCCTCCCCAGGGAACAGGTGCAAGGTGCTAGATTCGGCCACACTCTCTGGTTTTTGCAAGGAACTGTGATGTATTTAGAACTGTGAGTTTAGAATAAATGAATTCATAAGCAAAAAGCCATCATGGATGATTTATTGAGAAAAACATCTGCATTTTATTTTGAATAATGCATTCTAAATTTCCCTCACCCTTTTCCATTTTTAAGGAATATGCAAACTATGACAGGGCAGAAGGGAGGGAAACTTAACCTCACATGTAATGAATCTTGGTCAATAAATCCCATAAATCTGATGAGTAGAATACTCTGTTGCTGATGTGGACTGCCAGAGACCTCTTCAGTCAGCCCGGCAGTAGAGGCCAAAAAGGGTGCCAGTCACCAGCTGTGTGACACTACAGCTGCCAACGCCACACCCACAGTACCGGCCATGCTGATATGGACTCCAAGGAGGGGCTGAATTGTGGAGGTCATGTCTTTGAGTCATGCGACAGTTTCATGTCCCCTACTTTAGTGGTAGGTTGAGCATTGAGGACAGTCCTAGCTTAAAGTTTATCTTCTCTAGCTTCCTTCAAGAAGCTCATAATCCAAATGGAGCTAAAAGGCAGGTGCACTCCAGGGCCAGGGACTGCCACACAGGTATGTACATCCAGGGCTATGTAAGGCATCCTCAGGAGCCAGCCAGATACAACCCAGAGAGTTGGAGGGACGGTAAGAGAAGGATGAATAATCACAGCTCTGCTCTCCCCTCTGAATAGCAATCAGCAATTTTCTCATCACTCAATTAGGGCTAAGAAAATTATTTCTCCTTCTGTCTCCCTACCAGAGGATGAAAGATGAACAGCTGGTTTGAGAGACCTGCTGGGTGGCACAGGCATGAACCGTGAGGGTTAATACGGCAGGTCACACATATCATGTACATTTATTTAAATCATTTCTGAATAACCTCATCTGTGGTGTTTCCCATTCCTTGTACAGGCCTCAATTTGCAATTTTAAAGACACTTGGAATGGAGCAAAGTATGCAGGTCGGGCTGGGGGTATGTGTTGGAACAACCAAGTCAGAGGACTTCAGAGTCCAGCAGTAAGATGAGGAGCTAAGAGAAACAGGCCCTCTGGAGAGCAGGCCTCACTCAGGTCTGGCCACTCTTCCCCTGGTAGAGTCTACTGTTTCTAGATGTTTCAGTGTTTCAAGGCAATCTGGAAATACAGCTTTAAATGAATGATATTAAAATGTTGGGAAGTAATTAAAACTCAATTATTTAGTAGCCACAAGCCCCAAGGACGCACCTGCAGGCCCAGGACGGTCTGTCTTCTCTCAGGTTCTCACCTGGGGTTTCCAGAGGTCCAACACCTTGTCACACTCTGCCCATTCTGTCACGCTGCCCGCTGGCTCTTTGGAAATGGAACCTCACAGGAGAAATGAGTGCATGGTCATCATTAACTGCTGTCAAAAGTGGGCAGTTATTGGTGGGGACAAAGGTGGAATTGCTTTTGCAAAAACACCATCCTTGCCCTGCACGGTTCATAGATGCTAAGGTGGATTTGATACCATGGCTGTGGCGTTGGCAGCTAGTGTCACACAGCTGGTGACTGGCACCCTTGTTGGCCTCCACCCCCGGGCTGACTGGAAGAGATCTCTGGCAGTTTACCTCTTCTCGAAACCCTTGACTGTGACAGCTCAGAGCAGAACAGTCCCTTTAACCAAGCAGTTCTTCAGTCAAGGCCTAGGAATGCCGACTTAACCACACACATTCCCTTACTCTCCAAAATTGTTCAATTTCTCTGTCTCTGTGGGAATAAAAAACAATGAGCAAAATGTACTTTGGAGCTTGGGGATGCTGCAGAGGGAGCGATAAGGACTTGGTTTCTTAACCTGGCTGCTATTGTTTTTTCCTGCTTTGTTTTCTCTGCATTCTGTTTGGCTTCCTTCCCCCTCAGCAGTCTGTCTTTTCCATCAGGAGAGCCTATTTAAAACAAATAGAATTTAGAATAATCAAGTGATGGCAGGACCAATTCTCCTTTAGCATATGTATTATTATACACCAAAAATGAAGTGCGGCCTCAAAGTGATTATAAGTCCAATAATGGAGCAATCATCAGAGGTACCCAAAACTCTCCAGAAGAGTCTCAAAAGAACAGAAATTGAATTAGAAATTCAAATGTTCTTTGAACTGTGTTATAAAATAGTGAAACTGAATGAAATCTTTTGTGCTTGGCAGCCAGCTTCAGTAATTAGATAATTAAATCAATGGAAAATCCTGGAGTGTGAGCATATCATATTTGAGCATTTCATTTTCAGAATTGATGAATTCTTTTCAGAAATACAAATGTGATCAGGCCCTGGCTAGGGGTGGGGGGGGGGTAACTTTCAAAAGGGCAAAAGGACTGGGGGGTGGGGCGGGGGCGGGGCAAAAGGAATGTAAACAAAAAACCACTTAGCCCTCTCTGTGTGATTCCCTGCTGTCTAGTTTTGGGTCAGTTACCAGTCTAAGAAAGATTCTTGGTGCTGGTTGCCCATTAGAACCACCTCAGGCCCTTAACAAAAACACTGAGACTGTGGTCCTCCTGTTAAAGTCTGACTTCATTGGTGCACATGAGCAGTTAGGCTGGTTCTAGGATGTTCTAAGCTGAGAACTACTGCTCTTGTGCTCTAACCAATGAAGTGCTTCATAGAGATGTTCAGAGTAGTTAACTGTCACAAAGGGTAGAGAAGAACAAATGAGGTACCAATTGCTCTGTGAGTCCACCAGACACAATGATTGAGAACCTTGACTTGAAACAAAGCATCTCATTTCCACCAGCTAATCAGAGGTGCCCTCTGCTTGGTTCCATGTGGTATGTGTGCTTGTAGAAGTTTTAGAATGCTCTACACCCATTCCCAGATAACAGTTGGATCTGTAATTAGATGACAGCAAAGGAAAAAGGATCTTGTACCTACCAAATGTTTTCTTCAAAACATGGTGATCTTTTTGTCCATTCCCTTTCTTGGTATGCTTCTTTTTTAAAAGAACTCACTTTTTCTAAATGATGAATAACATGTCTTTCCCAAAATGCCTCAATACTTAAATTTTGCCAAACTAATTCTAAATCCACAGAAGTGGCTGTACTTCTGGCTTTCTCTATGGACTTAAGAGAAAGAAGTCTCCAGAAAAGATGGCATAGTTTCTGTGGCAGCCCAATGAGATGGCTTCAATTGAAAGAATAGATAGATTCTTCTCTAATTCTCAGGGGGTTTTTTTTGGACTCTATCTCCTTATGCTGCTTCCTGATTTAAAAAAAAAGGGGGGGTTATTCTGAGCCTAATAATGTTATATTTTTAAGACCACAGAGAGTTTACTATTTTTTTTTCAAGGAAGGGAGGATACAACATAAACAAAGCCCTTGTTCTTGAAATTATATATTTCAACACAGTTATCTTAATGTGTCTTTTTGTAAGATATTGCCTCACAGAAATGTATCAAAGTCTCATCTTTCTTGCAACATCCAAAATAACGATCAGAGGAATGTGTATGCCAGAGAAAAGCATACTGGAAGTTGGCCATGTGAACTAGACCTGTTTTCTCCTACCAGGCAGAAATAATAAAAAGCTTAGAGTTTGGCAGTTAGGCTGGGTACACAGTAGGTGACCAGGCATCTTTACTTTTTTCCTAAATCTGAGGAGAATGTGAAAGTGCCCATATAGTCAGGAGCCATTCTGAGGTCTGTCATCATGACACTTCCCAGGTCAGTGTCACCGTCAGTCAGCAAAATCAGTCCCATTTTACTATCCACTCTTATCAAAACTGATTTTACCTAAAAATTCAAGAATATGCATATGAAGTACAGGTCTATTTTGAGGTACAGGGAGTTAGAGTTAAACAGTTTCCTGCTTTGCCTATGAAGTTGATGTGCATAACTCTTCGGTCCAATTAAAATGTTAATGGCCCACAACATTATTTCTAAGTATGATTGTAAAAATGTCAAAGGCATTTTCAATAATTATGTTTCCAGCTAGGAATGTGTAACTGCAGTTCAGCTTGCTGTCCCACTATTGACAACAGGAGAACTGAAAACTATCCGACGCTGTGCAACAGATCTGACACAGAACTGTGGTTCTGAGAAGGGTGGGAACAAAGGAAATAAAGCCTGCAGTCGACCCAAGCTTCTGCTTGGGGGTGCTTTTCATATGTGACGCACAAAAGAATTACCCGAGCAGATCTGGGGTGTCTCACTGGCTGAAGGAGGGAACATCAGTGTGAGAGAGCTGAAGCAGCCAGAACTTGTGAATTGGAGTGCCAATCAGAAGGAAGGAACCACATAAATCTGTGGACCTGTTATTGAGTCATAAGCCAAGCGTGTATAGTATAGAGAGCCCACGACCCAGGCTGAGGCTGTGGGTGGGGTTGGGGGTACACTCAGACTCAGAGCTCATACCTGCCTGAGGGCTGCCCAGTGAGGATGAGCAGGAATGAATACTCCTTACTGAGCCTCTGGAAACAATAAATATCCCAGAAAGGCTGTGCCTCAGTCTTGAGACTAACCCAACCCTAAAGTAAAGACAAGATGTGCCCTCATAAAGCTTTACGAGAAGCCACTAATAGGCATAACTATCCACAGTAATTAAAGTGTGTGCTGCAGAAAGTCCAAAATCTGTAAAGGAAAGCAAGAAATTCAAAACACTATGCCTAATATCCAATAAAAAATTACCAGATGGGTAATGATGGTTAAGAAAAAAAATGTGACCTATAATCTTAAAAAAAATCAGCCAGTAGAAACTGAGACAGCTGGGCATGGTGGTGCATCCTGATAATCCCGGCACTTGGGAGGCTGAACAAGAGAATTGCCATGAGAGGGAGGCCAGCCTGAACTTCTTAGCAAGACCAAAGCAGCAAACAGAAATGACAAGGATAATGCAATTGGCCACAAAACTGTTCAAAAAAGGTATTATTAATAATTTTTAAGGATTTAAACGAACATAATGAAATAAGAAATGGAAGCACTAAAAAAAAAAAGTAGATCTCTCAAGAGTTAAAAAATGCATCATCCGAATGGACAAAATGTCAGTAAACTTGAAAACACAGCACAGCAATACAAACTCGCCAAACTGAAGCATAAGAAAATGAACTGAAATTTTTTGACATACAGAACGATATTAAGGGGTCAGTGGAGAAATGAAAAATATAAAAGAGCTAGTAGCTACAATTTCCCCAAATTTGATAGAAACTATAAATCCACAGACACCCAGACTGGTAAACATAAAAGAAACCATGCAAAAGTATGTCATAATCAAATTGCTAAAAATAGGGATAAATAGAAAAATCTTTAAATCAGCTCAAAGGGTGGGGCAGACAGTTCATACACAGAAACATTAATAATTCCTGTTCCTCTTCAGAAAGAGAAGACAAGTTAGGAAACAATAGAAGGACATCTTTAAAATGTTAAAAGGAAAAAAAATTTCATAAAAGAAACTCTCCAACAGACTTTGTGAAGCCAGTATTACTCTAAGAACAAAACCAGACAAAGATATTATAATCAAAGAAAACCTCAGACCAGTATCCTTCATGAAAACAGATGTAACAAATCCTTAACAAAATAACAGTGACAAAATCCCATGATATATAAAAAACATAGTACATATCCTAGGAATGCCAGTTTATTTTAATATGGGGAAAGTAATAAAATTGACCTTCTTCATAGAATAAAGGAGAAAAAGTCGTATCATTTCAGTAAACAGAACAATCACGTGATATGTTCACCATTAGTGGTAAAAACACTGAGCTACTTGAGAGAAGGAAACTTCCTTAACCTACAGAAGACACTGTGTAATGGTGAAACCCCAAACACAGCCCCCATAAAATCAGCAAGAAGGCGAAGGAAATCCCCTCTCCCTTCTGTGACTCACTGTACGGAAGACCCGAACAAGTGTTAAAGCCAAAACAAGAGATAGAGGCAAACAGATGGGAAAGTGAACTGTGTATTGGGCTTTCCTGGACTCACAAGTGGTAAGATTGTATATTTGTAAAAGTAAAAGCAATCTATAGCAAATATCAGCAGAAATAAGTGAATTTATTAAGATCACACGAATCCAGTAAATATAGAAATACATGAAATTTTTAGTATATCCATGCAATGGAACACCGGTAACTCAGCAATAAAATGAATGAATTACTGAAACAATCATGTGGCTAAGATCTCAAAAGCAATGTTCTGTTCTAGGGTGTGGCTGAGTGGTAGAGCGCTTGCCTAGCACACATGAGGCCCTGGTTTCCATCCCCAGCACCGTAAAACACTGAAATTATGCCCTGAAAGAACAAAGCCATACACAGAGGAGTACGAACTGTGTAAGTCCATTCACAAGGCACTCTAGAACAGGAAGAACTAATCTATAATGACAGAATCCAGACTGGTGGCTTTCTTCCTTCCTTCCCCAGGCTGATGGTTGGGGACTGATTGCACAAGATGCTGAAGGAACTCTTTGGAGTGATAAGACATGTTACAGGACCTGTTTTTTTATTGGTTGTTACACCAGTGTAAAACTTTGACCAAATGGAATTGTGGTTTCAAGTGGGTAGAGCACATTTTATGGTTAACAGACTCCATAGGCTGATTTTTTTAAAAAAAAAAAAAAACAGTTGACTGTAAGCACCACCTCCTAAGCAAAAATAAATCAACACCCTGAGGTACTGCTAAGTAGTGATTGAGAACATCTAAAGCAAGAGATCCACACCCTGTCTTCCGCAGTTCTCCCCTGAGATGAGCAGGGACTTTCCTGTGGCTGAACCTGTGGCAGGGACCCCGGGGAGGAGTAGCAGGCACAGAAACTGGACCTATGTGTATTGCTCGGGAAGTGCTCTTCATTGCAGCCTGCCACAGTGCTGTGAGGCGTTGTCTCCTCTGTACACTCAGCTGGATCTCTGAAAGCCGCTCTTTCTGGGAAGGAGGCTGACAAAACCAAGAGCTCCAGGAGGATCCCTCCTTCCCTCTTCTCGAGTGCAGTAAACAGCACTTAAAGATTCCATGTGGTTGCATTCTTCTGATATGCATATATCTGCCTTCTTGACAATGCTATGAGATTCATTTGTAGGACAAGTAGATACTGGATGCCTACAGTGTACCAGAAAGTATGCTTTAGCTGGGAGTTAAGCAGAGTTGCTCCCTTGACAGAAGAGCGAGTGGGGGTGGCAGGGAAATGACTATGCTGAGTTCGTAGGACCTGATGCTAATCTTGTCCATGAGCTGTACCTGCCTGATGACGCTGAATGGTTACTTGACCTCTGAAGGAATTTCCTTTTCCTATCCTTGACATTTCATTTTTAAGAACTTTTGATACCCAGCCATAATTGCTGGCTTAAAAGCCATTGATATCTACTGCTAAAGAAACAGCAGTATTAATTGAGCTCGTTCATAGTGGGCAAAAGAGTTGGGTACAGAGGGCTACACCTCATGGATTGTGGCACGCTGACATCGAGGCCCCTTTGCTTAGACCACGATGCTATTCCTGATGGCGAATCACAGTCATTAATTATCTGCTTTCTTGGCGCCTACAAGCCCATTGCTACTCCTTTGCCCTCCCCTTTAAAAGTGTAGGAGTTAACCTGTGGCATTGAATTGGATGAAGCACTCCAGCTCCATAGCAGGCAGTGCTGCTGTGTGGATTTCACTGAACCATTCAGTGCTGACCTTACAGCCAGAGCAGCACAGAGAAGTCAAACTGACGTCAAGGCAAATCTGCACTTTGGTGGCTGCATATTTCAATTATTTAGAAAGAATCCTGGATTCTCTACTGTCCTCTGTTATCATCTACATTGCTCCTTAGTTAGGTTTATTCCATAGCTGTTTACTGAGTTTGGGCTATGTACTAGGCACAGTGTCCTGGGTGCTTTGAAGAGCAGAAATTAAGCAGGTGGAGGGAAGAACATTTCAGGGGGTGAAAAGAACAGGTGCAAAGTCCCTATGACAGAAAGAAACTCAGGCAGTCAGAAAAACTGAAAGGATGCTGGTGTGGCTGGGTGCCTGCATGAGACGAGACCAGCCCTTGGGAAAGGGTACCTTGTGGATAGCATGGAGCCGCAGAGTATGTCAAGAAGTTGTCTTCTGTGCACTGTCTCTAGATAAGGAGACATTCTGCAGTATACAGTGACTGGTTTTAAGACCACAGTAAAAAAGAGCAGTGTGAGAACATGCTCGTGAGTCATTAGAGAAGTTCACCAAGGTTGGCACATTTTTATTAGGTTTCCTCCTAGACAAAACCATGGGCTCCGCCTCCATGTCTCAGTTCCTGATAACAATACCTGACAGGTACTCAGAGCTAGATTTGTGCCAGATATTGTCATGAACACCTTTTATCATCTCTTCTAAGGCTCCCATGCCAGCCCAGAGCTAGGAACTGTTACCCCACCCTCTGCGTCTAGGCACAGAGATGAATAGGGTAACTCACCCGTGGCCACAGAGTTACCAGGAAGTGGTAACTAGAAACTGAAGCCATGAATCTCTATCTCTAAAGAGTGGTCTGCCATGCTGGTGCTAGGACCTAGGAGTGGCTTTGCTCATGGCCCAGGTTAAAATGATTTTATTCAGAGGAAATAGAACCCAGAATGAGGCTCCAAGCAAGGAACCCCATGGTTAGACTGCAGAAGTGAGGGACAGGTGACAGAGACATTCTCCCTCCTTGGAGCAGCATTTCATATTTGGAGAACCGTGCTGAAACCAAGAAATGAAGGAAATGATTGAACATTGTTAATTGGTATTTTGGCGCAACTGTAGGACTAGTATAATAAATATAATAGAATTGCTGCTGTTGAGGCTGATCAAGGGAATTACCTGATGAATGCTCTGTCAGAAAACTGTCTTGCCCCTAGGACAGGACAGTTTGACTGAGTTCTGCAGCCTGCATGTGAAGATGCACAGCCCAGAGAATCTGGGATGAAAGATCCGAAAGTTCTGGAAACTATATGGAAATGGCAGGTTTGTGTGCACTATCAGTTTTCAGTCAGGTAAATTAGTACATTACCAAGAGTCTGGGGCTCATCTAGTGCCCTGAAGACGGCCACCAGCAACAGTGAGAACCGTATTTTAAGGATCTGTGATGCTAAGGTATTGGCGCATGGATTCACGAACAAAGGGGTACAGAGCTTGTTTTAACTGGTGTTTGGAAATAGCCCAAGTCAACAGTTGTGGGTTACTCTATAGCAGTGACCTCGTGTAATCCTCATGCTGCTAAGGAAATCCTCACTCGTCATTAGACATAAGGAGATGAAGGATAAGAAAGCCTTGGTGAAATGCTCCCATTCTCACAGTGGGCCTTGCAGAAATTTAGAGGTTGACCCGAAAAGGGTACTGAGTTCCACAATGAGTGTTCTTGGCTGCTCTTTCACAGAAAGTGGCTGTGAGAATCTGTGCCTCTTGTCCATTTGCAGTAGCCAGAATATAAAAAGGGCCCTATTTCCTGTAGACACAGACAAAAAATCCCATTTGTCAACTGGCTGCTAAAATTCAGATGTCAAGTGAAGAAGAAACAGGAGACACAGGCTCAGCTCCCTTCCCCTTCTCACAGAAATAAATAAGTACTCAGCTGCAGGCTGTTTCTCCGGATCCACTTCTGAGGACGGTGTCGAGCGGGCTGAGGCAATTGAGGCTGATTTCTTTTGTTCCACAGCTGCAGAACCAGGAGATGCTGAGGGCCATGATGAAGAAAGCTGAGCTGGAAATCAGCAGCAAAGTGATGGAAACCATGAAGAGACTGGAGGATCCCGTGCAGCGACAGCGCACCCTCGTGGAGCAAGAGAGACAGAAGTACCTCCATGAGGAGGAGCGGATCCTCAGGAAGTTAGGGTGAGTGGCAGTCCCTGGTTTCCTGTCTGTTCAGCCTGAAAAGGAGAACTGTCCTGGTGCTCAAGGGTCCCTCTATGTCTTTGCATTTTCTCCCTGCTCTTGACTGAACCCCTCCTGTGTATGGGTCAGGGTTCTCCAGTCCTGGTATCCAGGAACACAAACATCTCTGCATCCAAGCCTGAGAAAGGCAAGGAGCCAGTCTCTTCACAAGTCGGAGGATCGCACCCTTTCCTGGGGCTCAGCAGCACATAAAATTAAAAGGCGGAGTGGCAAAGCCTAGTGATGAATGGGAAGTCTGTATTTAATCTTGAGAAATTAAAACTAATGGCCAAAATAACACAGCACTGAAATTACCCTCTTATTATTCAACTGTGTTAGAAATCGCAGAAGAAGAATTTAAATGTAAAGTGTGTCTGATCCAGAATGAATGATGCTTCCTTGGATGTTACCAGTCGGATGTAAAGTCCTTATTGAAAGCATCTATCAAGTCCCACTGTTGAAATCAGCAGTTTTATTACTTCCTGACAGAAGGCAGCCCCATCTTTTATGTTAATGTGTGTTTTTGTTATGCAACAAAGATTTATCATAGGACTATTTCACCTTTTAGTGTAATGAATAGTAATTTTTTTAGGTCCCTTTATTGATGATAACTCTTCTTGCTTAGAAAGCTTAAATCTCCCAAATTGGGATGATAAGGGAGCAATCTGAAAGTTCTTCTCATGACCAGGATAACCAGAAGTTTCCAAGAACGGAAATGCTATGTTCTGGAGCTTATCTCATATTTGAGCTATAGCTTCCATCACCCCAATACCAACCACTGTGTTTGTCCTTTGCAGCAGGCTAGAGAGAAAAATTAGCTTGAGCTCTTTCTCTAATTAAATTAGACTACTGTTCATCTACATCTCAAAATAGTTTCGCAGTTTTTACTTAGTTCATCCATTTATAAACAGAATGAATCACTACTATGAGGCAGTGAGTCTGTGATTTGTGTGGAATGTTTTTGTGACATTTTGAGTATTGAAAAGCAGGTCTTATGATTTATCTTTAAAACTTCTATATAGCCACTTAATATTTGCAGAAATTTTCTAGTAAAATGATGAAAAATGAGAATTTCTTTTCTTTAAAATTTGTATTTATTGGTTTGCTAAAATAATGGTTGTTTGTGGTATTAAATAAAAGCATCTTTAACCCCAACAATGTCCTCAGACAAGTAGCTCAGTTTAGAAATAAGATGGTGGCTAAAGAGGATTTTATCTGCTTGACTTTGTGGGACAGCCATAAAGGGATAAGGTGCATCTGAGCACAAGGCATTTGAAAAGTCTAGCAAAACAAAACATAAAAGTATGATGTAGCACACAGCTTCTGATCTGCAGGTGCCAGGTAAACCTATGCCAGGAAGAGACTGCTTCTAAACCTAGGGAAGAGAGAGAGATTCGGTCTAAATTCATATGCTCCACTGATCAAGGATAGTTCCAGTTCAAGGATGATCCTTTCCAGTGTAGTTAAACTGAATAGAAATGACTTTGAAACAGGTAGGTCTCATCAGCAGCAACTTTTGAGGCAGAAGGATGCATGTGAACTGGCATGAACCAGGAGCAAGGGAGGACATACCTGAAGAATTGGGGATAGACCAGTTTCGCAGAGTAATGGGGTACAAGATACTAACAATGTCTCATATTTGGGTTGTGCCATCCTATTTGTACAATGTCTTCCTGCATCCTAGACTGTACTTAGCTGTGGACACCTGTTTAGTGCCTGTCTGGGCAGTGGTTCCCAAGACTGGAAGCTCCTATTAACAGAAACCTAGATGTCTGCTTTTTATGGAAGCTCCTAGGTCCAACCCAAGAGCCACAGTTTCTCTGAATGGAACTTAGGAAAAGTGATAGGGTACCATAAACCAGCTTCAAATGATGTGAAAGCTGCTGATGGATTTTTGATCAAGGAAGGAGCAGAGCGAGAGCTGTGTTTCAGAGAGGCCCCTCTGCTGACCTGATGCAGGCCTGCAGGGTGGGAAGAGAAAGTAGACACACTGGACACTACTGTTACCGCCCAGGCACAAGGCAGTGGAAATAGGAATAAGGAAAGGCAAAGGCAACATGTTCTAAGATATTATCACTTAAAACTAGGTCTGGGTTCTCCTCGAAAAAGTCTTTTAAAATATTAATTAAACCTGTTGGTTGTAATATTTGTGTTCAGTTTCCCTCTACCTTGTAACAGGTGTAACTCCTTGGGTCTGCCCAGTGAGGAAGCACAGATTACAAAAGGCAGCAGAAACTCCAGCCCTGAAGGATTAGGGAACCCCACTCATGCTCTCTTACTCCTCCTCTTGTGCCCAAGAAGTACATCCCTTCGGGGTGCATGTTAGGCTCAGTCAGGCTACAGAGTGGAACCTGGGTCTAAAGGGATGGCCAAACAGTAGATTATGATGGTTTCTTTCTCCTGGCTTTTTACCTGGAAATAATAGTTGGACTTCTCTTAAGAGTTAAATAAAATATATTTTAATGAGCTATATGCTTCTTTTTAACAAAGATAAAATGAAAAGTAACTTAAACAGGATATTGTAAACTGCAGCCTCTGTGAACATCTGACCTGCAGAGAAGTATTTTAGAAGTCATTGATCACTATATCAAATGTTTTGCACTGATTTTTAGCTCCTCTGTGTCTTTTACAAGTTTTGAGTCAACAGATCTAATCTTTAATTCTTCATCTAAATAGATTGCATAAGCATAGGAACAGAACGGACGCTGTTATGTTTAATAGGATCAGCAGGCATTCCTGTAGGGTCCATGCCGCAAAACAAGGGACACCTGGAGGGTCAGCATCTTCCATATGCAGGTTATAAAGTCCAGGAGGCACACTGTGCAGAAGACATAAAACAGAATTGTAGGCAGAATGACTTTGGGTCCAGTGGCAGTCCCTTGGAGGATCAATTGCAAATGGACAGGCTTGTGGGCTATTAATGGAACTGTAATAGTATTTGGGTTGTCTTAGCTCATCCATCGAAGCTCAGTGGGTGTGCAGCCAGCATATGAAAGCAAATTCTGTTTAGTCATGCGGTGGGAAAGAACTGCGGTGTTAGCAGGTCTCATGAAGGACAGCACAATCTCTCCACCAAAAGGATGAAGCAGCTATAGGAAGTGTCTGTGATGTGTACGAGTAACACAGGCCACCTTTCCATTGTTCACAAAAAGGGCCCAGCAGGGGTGGCTTCCTTTTGGGGCCCAAAAGGACATCATTTTGTCAGAAATGGTCAAAAGCCTTTTCCATAACAGCATGAACACAGCCAAATACACTATCCTACTTCTTAGAGGTGGGGGAATTTGTCATTTGCCTCACAGTCTTTATCGAGTCGAGGGCACCTCCTGTCTGACTCCTGTTACGGGCAGCTGTTACGGTGCCACCCTCTTGCTGCCCTGGGAAAGGGGCTTCCTTCACCGGTTGCCTCTTGACAGGCGATGCTGTGCTGTCCTCGTTCTGCCTGGCTTCTTCAGCACGCAGGCTCAGGAGGCTGAATCGCTGCTCACTTACTGCCATCTAGCGGTGTGCATTTCCCGAGTCCTCCCCCAGTTAATCTCTAATGAACATTTCCCTTTGCTGGATTTACAGGCAAACTGTAACAGTAGAAATGGATGTTAGGATGGTTAGTAATACACTGAGGAAGGCTGTCATTTTTGTTGTGGTTTCAGGTGGTGTTGGCCTCTCCCTACACACACACACACACACACACACACACACTCCAGAAATCAGACCTGTAATCATTTGTTCTCTTTGTAGTATGGAGAGGAAAGAGTCAATCCCCAGTCAGGGATAGTTTTGCTCTGTCTCCCCAAGGGCATTTGAAAGTCTTTCTTGGTTGTCACAGGATGCAGGGGAGGGAGAGAGAGCTGTGCGTACATGGCTAGAGCTACTGCTAAATGTCTTAAACTGCAGGGAGGATGGTCCCTCACCAAATGAATTATTGGCCCGAAATCTTAAAGAGAAAGTTTAAGGAGACTTCTCATCTCATTCCACTGTGTGGCTATGCACACCCTCCTGACCCCTCTCTCTCCCCTGCCATAAGTCCCGGTCCCTCCCTTAGGTGGCATCAGCGCCACCAAAATGAAGAATGGTTTCCCAATAAGCACCATCTCAGCTCAGCTCTGGCCAAGCCCTGCAGAAACCTTGTCCCTGCCGTGCCTGCCAAGACTGCCCCGGGGAGACTGCCCAGCTACTGTCCTGACTGTGACACAAGGCCACAGAGGGGGACAGGTAAGGGTGTGCCAAGGACCCCACAGTCAGCTCCATCTTCAGCTCCTCTTCTCCTCACAGGGAGCTGGAAGACTTTGTTGAAGACTTGAAGAAGGACTCATCTTCCGCTGGCCGAGTGGTCACTCTCAAGGACGTGGAGGATGGGGCTTTCCTCCTGCGACAAGTGGGAGAAGCGGTGGCTACCCTGAAAGGTAAGTGTTCTGCTGAAGGGGAACTGTTGCCTTGCCCTTTTCCAAACCTGTCAAAGAAGTTCAGAGTATGGTGACACATGCCTCCAGTCCCACCTGCTGAGGCAAGAGGATCACTTGAGGCCAGGAGTTCAAGTCCACCCTAGGCAACATGGCACAATACCATCTCCAGAGGGGAAAAAAAGGCCACCAAATAGTAAAGGCTTTATGTGGGTACATGCAAATATTTATCAACATCTGCCCACTCCAGGCACTTGGTACAGATCAAAGCAGGCAAATGTTCCTGTCTTCTGAGAGCTTATTTTTAGCTGGTGCCATATGATTTCAGACTATGATACCTTGAACATCATACACTCAATTTTATTTTAGCTGAGCTGTTAAGTATGCCAGGGACCCTGTGTCAGTCTCATTCAAAACAACACGTTTAGTTGGCCTCTCCCAAATATACCGAGGAACTGCGACCTTGCCCTAGCTCACTCAATCAGGCCCCCACCCCTCTCCGCCAGGGCACTGGACAGGGTGCCCCATGTCTCCTCCTGTGCTCACAGTGAATTTGGTCCACAGGAGAATTCCCGACCTTACAAAACAGGATGCGCGCCGTGCTGCGGATCGAGGTGGAGGCCGTGCGCTTTCTGAAGGAGGAGCCACATAAGCTAGACAGCCTGCTGAAGCGCGTGCGGGGCCTGACGGACGTCCTCACCGTGCTGCGGAGGTGACCAGGCCGGGGGCAGGCTGGGGGCTGCTCGTGTGATTCCTGTCACCCCCCAAGGTGGCATCTCCAGCCTTGTGACTCTTCTGCTTCTGCACTTGAGTGGCAATGGGGTGCGAGGTTGCATTTCTTCAGCTTAGACTTGCATGCTGTGCTCATGCTAGCATCTAAAATGAGCAGACATGGGCGGGATGCACCTTGGCAGGGCTGCATTTCCCCAGCACACGTGAAGACCTGGATTCAATCCCCAGAATTGCACAAAAAAAAAAAAAACAAATTAAGATTAGCGTAAAAATAAAATTAGTAGGCACAGTAAATGTTTTTTAAAAAGTCATTTGAAAGTAGGGAACTTTTAGGAACATGTTGAATGGATTAAAATAGTTTACTAGCCTGCTTCACTTCAGAAGCATGGATGTTAGAATAATGTGAGTAGAAATAAATAAATCTTCCTTTAGTTAGCTATTCAAAGTGTACTTGAGAGTTTATTGGCACTACCTAGAAAAAAGAATTAAATCCCCTTGAGTAAGCTGGGCCAGTTACCTCACTCAGGTTAGATTTGCTTATCAAAGAGGGGCACTGCAGAGGAGAGACTAAGAGAAGACAGATCCATGACTCGTGAAAAAGAAAGCTTCAAAACTCCACCCCCACTGAAAAAGTGTTTAGGGGGGCCTGGTGTGTAGCTCAGTGATACAGAACCTGCCTCTCGGGGCTGGGGATTTAGCTCAGTGGCATAAGTGCCTGCCTTGCAAGCAGGCAGTCGTGAGTTCAATCTCCGGTACCAATAAAAATGAAAAAGACAAAAAAAAAAAAAAAAAAAGAACCTGCCTCTCAAGCTCTTGGCCATGTACTCCATCTTCAGCACCCAGACAGAGAGAGGGGAGGAAATAGTACTGACATCTAAGTATGCAGGGTTTGTGCTGTCACCAACACCTGTAAATGACTTCTCCTTCTGCCATATGCACTGTCTTTGAGTTACAGTTAGATCTCTTTCTTCCCAGCATAATAGTAAAAATAACTTCCACTTGTGAGCACTTTCTATGCATTAGGTACTGAACTGAGCCGCTTACATGCATTTAGCTCATTTAGTTTGGGAACTGTTATTTCTGTTGTCTGCAGGTAGAATCTGGGGTTGGGAATGGGCCCTGCATGTCCAGTAGAGCTGAGATGGGAACGAGTAATTTGACCCCAGAGTGACAGTGGTGTCTTATCTCACAGGCAGGCAGGCAGGCAGGAAAATGAGGGGGCTCTCTCTATGCTGCATTCTGTCCCCCACATACCATGCTGGATATTATGGAGACCGTAATAAACAAGACCAATGAGACCTCTCCCCCCCCCCCACCTTTATGACACCTACTTTCTCACCTGGGAATTCTTAGTCTTTCACAACCAGAATAAACCACTTCCCAGCAGTGGATGCCCCTGAGGTTTTAGTGGAGTTTTGTTTTTATTTTATTGGTACTAGGAATTGAACTCAGGACCTCGTGCTTGCCAGGCAGGTTGCTGTGCCACTGAGCTATATTCCCGGCCCCTTTATTTTTTAATAGGATTAGCAAAGTGTAGGGAAGTTACAATTTTGGACCAGATTTGTTAGTAGATCCACATAAAAGTAACATGTAAGAAACTTTCTCATGAGAATTTTAATCACCAACTATAATCATGTGATTAGATTTATAAGAGAGATACATTAAGTGTACAGATAAGTATCAATTATAAGAAGCAAGTTAGATTTTTCTAATCAGGAAACAAAATCTTTTGAGATAATCCTGCCTGGCAAGTATACAATAGCCTGTGTGAGTGCCAGGGTGCCAGATGAACTCCAAATTCAACCCAAAAATGCCTCCTGCCATGCAACTTGTATTTGACTGTGCATAGAAATAGATTTTATTTACACTGAATTTTCTCATTCTTTCATTTTAATTGGCCAAAATTAATTTTTCTCCCAATAAGACAAAAGTTTATTAAGATAATTCTTCGTTAAGCTGTCACCCAAGTGTGCTAACACACCCGTAAACCTTAAATCCAGTCAACATGAAGCAAAAATCAGGGCCAGTGGAAAAATATTGTTCATTCTTTTTATCTCCCCCCTGAAAAGCAGTTAAAAGATGCTTTTGCAATCCATATAAAGCGATGGGAGCTTAGTATTCACCTTAATTCCAGTAGGTGCTTCAGAAAAGCCTTATATGTTTTGAATATTATGTGAAATTTTTGTCTCATAAATACTCAGAGGTGAGAATGAAGCATGAAACCAGTGCAGTAGCTTTCAAAATAAAGATAAATTCAGGCTATCCATCATGAGTGTGTTTATAATTAACTTTGTGTTTCCTGTGTAATACAGAGGGAAGGACATGCGTATGTCCTCATCCCATGGCAGAGAAGGTGGAACAGGTGAGACACAGTCGCAGCTCAGAGCAGACTGAGGGGCCAGGAAGATGCCACAGTGGTGTGGCCCATGCTGAGTTCGAGGTGTTGGGAAGGGAGTGTGGCCACCAGGCCCTTAGGACAGTGGGCTGACACTGAAGGGAGAGTTAGAGGTGTCCCCACCCCTGATCTGGAGGGGAGGAGAAAGGCAGGAAGGAAGAGAAGAGAGGAAGGACTTAGAATTGGAGCTCAGCTTCATGGAGATGATTGTGGAAAGTGGAGGAGACAGCCAAGGTAAAAAGCTGAAACTGAGAGGTGACAAAACTTGGGGCATCTTCAGGGCTGTAAGAGGCTGGGGCCAGGTAAATTAAACAGCAGAAGAGACAGAGAACTGAGAGCAGAGAAGAGTCGTAGGATGACACAGCCTTTTCAAATCAGAGGTAGCATGTAAGAAACTTTTCAAATTAGAAGAGAGACAGAGCATTCTAATGAGAAAAGAATACACAGCTAACCAAAAATTATGAATCAAAATTATGAATCAAATTGACTTTGCAACATTAATTCTAACAATAGCCCCCAAGGAACGCATTATTGTGAACTTTACATTTTATAGAAAAGTATGTGAGACTCTAAAAAGGTGACGTTCCTTCCCTGCATTATGGTAGAACCGGCCCTCCAACATGGGTATCAGCATGGGGTAGATGTAGCACTCACACCGCCTCTCTGCCCTCTTCCTGCACAGGCTGAGGATATTTCCAAAGTAAGGATCCTGGCTCCCTGCTGAGTCTCTTAGTTAAATTTCTAAACTTCTCAAGTTGACAGTGTATCGACCGTAACACTTGGGTTTGTCCAGCTCCAAGGCCCAGTCTTTTCCATTCCAGCCTGAGTAGAGCTGAACAGATAGCATGAGATGACTCCAAGAATTAGAGGAGGTGAGGACTAAACACATTGATAGCTTTGAAGCACAGTTATCCTAGCAGGAAGACTTGGGGTGCCAGGTAGTGGCAGGTTGAGCTACAAGCAGAGCAGGCAGAAGGTACTGGACTGTGACTACCAGCTCACCCTGAGACGCCCATGAGGGAGAGGAGGGAAGGAGCTTTAGAAAGCTTCCTGAGTAAGAACTGAGTGTATTCGAGGCTGGCACAGGCCAGAACCAGATGAAGGAGTTAGTCTTTTCCTTCACATCGTTTGCTCATGTCACCCCACAGACAGTGAAGGACAGCACCAGTCTAGGTGCCAGGGGGTTAGTATGAGAGGAGAGTCCGTTCCCAAAAAAGGCCTGGCACCGCCACTACAGAGAGGACTAGGGAATCTGGCAGGACTGTAGGAAGTTGCTATAGAAACCCTCACCCAAACTACTACTTTGGACTTTTGAATCTTTTCATTGCAGCTGGCTTTTGGGGTTCATGGCATTCAAATGCACCAGAATAAACAAATTGGAAGTGATACATATCGTCACTTAATGCGGCCTTGCGTGTTTTCTCCTAGACATGTCACTGACGAGCTCCTGAAGGGCACAGATGCAGCCCAAGCTGCACAATATGTTGCTATGGAAAAGGCCACAGCTGCAGAAGTCCTGAAGAATCAAGAAGAGGCGGCCCATGCCCCAAGCCAGGCCCTCCACAGCACCAGAGTCCCTGGAGATGTGAAATCAGAAGTGGTGGCCCTGTCCGGCATGATGGTTCACCATGCGCAGAGCTCTCCTGTGGTCATCCAGCCCTCCCAGCACTCTTCAGCCCTGCCGAATCCTGCCCAGAATGTGCCTGGGCTGACAGGGCCACGCACAGCCAGTCCTCCAGGGGTCACACAGGAAGTAACCCCTGTGATGCAGTCAGCTCCTACCCCACAGTCCCCTCAGGCGCCCATGAATGGCTCTGCTCTGCAGAGCTTGTTCATTGAGGAAATCCACAGTGTGAGTGCCAAGAACAGGACGGTGTCCATCGAGGTAGAGTCCTATTTCCATTTCTCAGAACTCCAGTGAGTTCACAGTCTGGATGGGGAGATAACGTACTTGAATGCTATAATGGTTAAAGCTATTTTTATGGAGGACAGATTTTTAAAACTAGAAATGGGATTCAGCAGGTTAAGGGAACATAAAGGAAAGGTGATTTGGCTTGAGCGAGGTAACCTCTAACCTCTAATAATGAGGTGCTGGTGTGCAGATAGTGTTTAACAACTGGCTTTCTTAGAGAAAGCTTTCATTTGCAGCGTTTACCAGTTTCCATGGTGTAAACACTCCTGCTGTGGCTGATTTCAGTCCATACCATGATAGCACTGAATGGGAACTCAGTGAGAAACAGGGCTGTCTGCGTGTGCTGAGCCAGTGTGTGCTGCTGGCTGAAGCTTGTGGTATCCTGAAGATAGATGTGGGGAGGCTTTGCCACTAGTCCTGAAAGATAGGAGAACTAGGGTGAGTAAAGATTGGGCATTCTGGGATGGAGAGATGCTAGAAAGATGGCCTTTAAAATAAATAGAGCTGGACTAGGGATAAAGCTCAGTGGCATAAGTGCCTGCCAGACAAGTACAAGATCCCAAATTCAATTCCCAGAAAAAACTAAATAAGTAAATAGAGGTATTTTATTTTAATGTAATTTTAATTTTAATTTAAAATATTGTAATGTGTCTCAATCATTCTAAACTGAAGAAATTTACAGGTCACTTACATACTCCTCCTCCACTTTATAACCAAGAAGATACGTTCCAGACAGTCATGTAGCAATTCTTGGAAAGAAGTAGAACTGACAGAGGTTGTTTATTCATTAAATATCTTTTTATCTCATTTGCATTAAAACAATAGTGGAACACTGTCCGATATAATCGGGATGTAGGATTTTTGTTGTGAGTATGTGTTTTGGGTTTTATTCCTTTCCTTGAATACCTCTTTAATGAATATTCAATTTTGAAAAGAAAACTTGGCAGTGGAGGACATACTTTTGAGAGCATTATCTGTGTCTTTTGTTAATTAGTGTTGGAGAAGTATATAGCAAGTGCTCAATGATTTAAGGAATGGGTTTGGGTTTGAGCTTGCTTCTCTGTGGATGAGTGTTGCCCAGGGTGAAATCACAGCCCATGTAGCTTGGTGTGGCAGATGGCAGTAGGGCCAGGTAGCTGGGACCTGTCTGATGTGTGAAGCATCCCCACAGATGGAAACCAGGTCATTATTTTACCAATACTTTCTCTGTGCAACAGTCCCTTCCCCCTCTGATGTGAAATCTCCAAACTAAGGTATCCTTTCCCTCTGGTTTTTAAACTTTCTTCACTTGCCATTTTCCTTCAGAAAGCAGAAAGAAAATGGGAAGAGAAAAGGCAAAATCTGGAGCACTATAATGGGAAGGAGTTTGAGAAGCTTCTGGAAGAAGCTCAGGCCAACATCATGAAGTCGATCCCAAACCTGGAAATGCCACCAGCTTCAGGCCCACCACCAAAGGGGGATGCCTCAGTGGACAAGCCAGAGATGTCAGGTGAGATTGGACTGGAGCAGGTACTTCAGGAATGAAGCAGCACAACTCTTTGGTCTGGGATAGCACATTTGTGCTGGACAGTGGGAGCAGTGACTCACTTCTTAAGAGAGAACATTTAACATTTTAGCTCTCATCACAGCATGGATATGAGTTTTCTCATTGCTGAGACTGATACCCAGGCCTACATTTTAAAGGATGAAAGGTTTACTTAGATCACAGTTTATAGAGGTTTCAGTCCATCATCTTGTTCCAAGACAGGGTAAATGGCAAAGAGGCATCACAGAGGAGTAAAGTTCATGGAGCATAAGACAGCAAAAGCAAGCCTCTCTCTGTCCCTTATATTATATCCAGGCTACAGGGGTTATGGTGGTGCCAAACCAAACAGTGGACTAAGCTAATAATCACCACCCCTTAATCCCGGCACCCTTACACCCTAGCACTGCAACAGGGATCAGTCACACTCTAGATTCAGCCACTTCTGTAAAAGGCCCACCTATGACTACATGAGGCTTTAGGATGATATCCAGACACAAGCTGTAACAGTCCCAGAAAGGAAAAATGCAAATTCCCAGCTTCTGCATTTCCTAAATGTGTGATACACCATGCATCAGCTTGGGGAATCTCAGGCCTACATTTGAAATTGGAAAGGAAATGCCAGGTTTCATGTGTTCCCCAGGAGATAGCAGAGCACTTTTTTTTTTTTTTTTGAAGAAAATAAAACCAAATGTGACAGAACAAAATAGAGTTAGTCAAAACAAAAGGCTGGACATAGTACATGTCGTTAAAACAAAATACAAGGTGATCAACAATGATAACCATAATGTCTCTTGTTATCATCAAAAGAATTGGCCATATCATCTGGTATAATAAAACTGGACAAAACAGTAGAGAACAAAACCAATAAAAATGAAACATTGGAGACATTACAGGACTTCAAAAGAAAATAATAGTCAAACCAGAATGAGTATCATAGTGAATATTATTGTCTTCAAAATAGTTGCCTATACCCTCAGACTTGATACTATCAAACAAAGCAGAATGGAATAAAATCAGTCAAAACAAGACAGTGAAAGCAATGCAGGGCTTCAAATCAAGTTAATAGGAAATCAAAAATGATTACCATAGTATATCTTGCTCTCTTGGAATAGCTGTCCATGCCATCAAATCTAGTACAAGTAGACAAACTGGAACAGAATAAAACCAAACTAAACAGAGTGATGAAAACAATATGGGTTTCAAATCATAATGCAAGATTAACAATGTCCTCTGCCTTCCCTTTTAGACAGTTCCTCCCCTTTCACTTTCATAAGGTGCATTGTACATTTTGCATCCAACTAACTCCTTTAGTTTTTAGATTAGGGAGGCAGCCCACTATTCACCTAAGTGATTTTGAACCTTTTTACCCCTGAGCATGATCTCAGGTTGTATCCATTTACCTACAAGAGTCTCAAAGTTTTCTTTCTTTATAGCTGAGTAGTTTTCCATTGTATAAAAGTGTTATGGCTTTCTATCCAATCTACAGCTGATGGGCACGCTACCCCAACTTTTATCTGGTTCCCTGTCACACAGAGCATTGTTTTCTCATCTTTGATTTTCAGTTCATAAACCTTCTTTCAGGTTAATTATATTTCTTATATGGAGCATTTTTTTTTGTCTTTTTTCTTTTTATTGGTACCAGGGATCAAACTCACAACTGCCTGATTGCAAGGCAGGCGCTTTTGCCGCTGAGCTAAATCCCCAGCTCCCTGTGTTTCTTTTTATTGCTGAATTGAGGCCATCTATATTAGTGATATAGCCAACCTTCTCTGCCTCGTCTCTGCCATGCTATTTTTCTGCCATTGGTTGTCTACTTTTCCCCTTCATTCCACTGTCTGCCCCATTCAGTGAGCCCCCATCTGCCACTATTCCTGAAACCATGGTCATTTCTTTCTCTCTCTCTCTCTCTCTCTCTCTCTCTCTCTCTCTCTCTCTCTCAGAAAGTCCTTCAGTATTTTTGGTAGGATTGGTTTGGTGGTCATGAACTCCCCCAGTTCCTCTTTGTCATGGAAATATCTTGTTTCTCCATTAATTTTTAGAGATAGTTTTTCAGGATATATCAATCTGGGTTGGAGGTTATTTTCTTTCAGGGCTTGGAATGCTTCACTCCAAGCTCTTCTTGATTTGATGATTTGTGTTGAGAAGTCTCCCATGATTCTGATGGGTTTTCCTTTATAGGTATCTGTTTCTTTTTTCTGACAGCTTTTAATATTCTGTTCTTGTGTTGAATTTCATGATTATTATATGCCTGGATATAAATTTATTTTGGTTATAGCTGGCTGGAGTTCTGTATGCCTCATATATCTGAATATCATTTCCTTTTCCTATGCTTGGAAAGTTCGCTTTAATTATTTCCGTAAATAGTGTATTTCACTTGTGTTTACCCCTGCTTCTTCACTCATGTCTTTTAGTCTTAAGTTATAAGTCCAACTTCTAGCCTTTGTATTATTGCTTTCTGGTTCCTTGTTAATTTTAAGAGATCTTTCCTTCTATGATTGCAAGTTGCAAACCTGTCTTCAAGGTTTGATAGTCTATCTTTAGTTTCTTTCAGGCAGTTTTGCCAGCTTTCAATGGAGTTTTTAGTTTCCTGGTAATCTCTTTGAATCTGTTTCATGTATTCTAAATTTTTTTTGTATTCTTCAGTGAAAGTTTCCCTCCTTTTTCTATGCTCCTCTATTCTTTCATCTGTGTCTTCTTTAGAGGTGCTTAGCAATTCTTTTATTATGTTTCTCATATCTTCTTTTTTCCTGAGGTAGTATATCTATTCTAAGTTCTTTTATATCTTCTTGAAGTTGTTTCTTTACTTCAGTTGCTGTTGCTTCAAAAACTGCAGGTACGTAACTCGCAATCTCTTCTGTGTTTACATCTCCTAGACCAGTATTGCTTGGGTTGGAGGCCAGAGACTGCCTTTTGCTTCTTCCTCTTGTCTTGTCCCTGATTTCTTCTGGACAAGTGGATAGCGGGGTCCCCAGCACTTCTTGTATTGTTTATAATTACTTTGAAGTTGACTAGGTATTTCTGCTGTTTGCTGCTTTCTTCAATCTGTTGGTGGCTACTGGAGTGTAAGCAGGGGTGGGGCAGGCTGACCCCTCCCTTCTGAGCTGGTGAACCACAAGGAGTCTTCACCACATCAGTGTGTGCCAGGCAGGTGAGGTTGCTTACGGATAGCTTTAGGAAAACCTCAGCAGTAGCTATTGAACTGCGCAGAGGGCAGGACTCAACCCAAGCAATATCCACCAGTCTGCTCCGAGCTAGGAGTAGCAGAAGGAAGCCAGCTGCAGTTCTGTCTCCAGGCCAACTCCATCCTGCCCAGCTCCAAAATGGTGCTGGGTCAATCTCCCACTCCTGCAGGAGAACTGAGTCCTACATACTCACCACCAGCCAGTGCAGTTCTCTGGTCTGCTGCTCCCCTCTGCCACTATGTCTCCCTGCCAAGACCTTCAGGCTTGATAGCCACCAGCTTCGCTGTGCCCATGCATCTCTGGTTCCAACAGTGCTTCTGGCACAATGGTTCCAGCTCCAGTGAAAGCACCACCAGCTACCACCTTCTTCTGTTTAAATTTTTCTTTTCTTTTTTTTTTTTTTTTTTTTTTATTCTTTCAGTGGGCTTCAGTTCTCACTTTAGTTTCTTCCTGGGTCAAGGGGACCTACTTCTTTCCTTCTTGTCTTCTCCAGAACCCTATATTCCAGCATCTGGACTGTTTCTCTCAGAGAGACTGTTTACTCTGCTGCTTACTGTTCCGCCATCTTCCCAGACTCCTGAGACAGAGTCTTGCTATGCAGTTCAGGCTTGAGTGAGCCTTGAGCTCACCTTGTACTAGTAGAGCACTTTTTAAATTGCAATTTTTAAAGCAAATTTCTTTTTTTTTTTTTTTTTTTTTTTTTTTTTTGTCTTTTTGCGATGGGGTCTTGCTATGCAATTCAGGCTGGATTTGAGCTCACTTTGTAGCCCAGGCTGGTCTCGAACTTGCAAAGATCCTCCCACCTCAGCCTCCTGAATGCTGGGATTACAGGCGTGAGCTACCACACCCAGCTCAAAAGCAAATTTCTTGAATATACAGTTGTGCCTCAGTTTACAAACTGAATTCTTATCATAGTTCTGGTTGCAGAATTCATTCCATGATTCTGGTTATAACCAAATTGCAAGCAACTAACTCAGTTATGGAAATTTAGAGATCAGTATGTCAATAATAACACAAAGTACTATTTTGGGCCATATAACATTTTGGCCAACAGCAGGCCACATAAGATTGGGTAGGGGCTGGGAGGGATGGTTCTTCTCTCACAAGCAGAGCTTTTCTCCCAATCCCCAGCCCCAGAATTCCTGGTGAAAAGAGTAACCCACTTCATTACATTTCCATCTTGCATAAGACTGTGCTGCATTATTCGTTTTCCCATGTAGTCCTTCGGTGCGGTTCTCACAGTGATTCCTTCTCATGTTTGTACAACAGAATTAGCACATATTTCCTTCTTGTTAGATTACCCTCGTTTCACTTTTTAATCTTTCAGATTTAAAACATCTTTGCCTAAATTTTAAAAATTACTCACAAGAGTTTTGTTTTGTTTTGTTTTGTTTTGATACCAGGCATCAAACTCATGACCTCATGCTTACCAGGAAAGCATTTGAGCTGCTGAGCTAAATCCCTGGCCCCTTCCCAACAGTGAGAACAATTCAAATGTTGCTTTTGTTTTTCGCTCCCTCTCTCCTCTTCTTCTCTTCCTCCTTTTTCTTTAATACATGCTCTGATTTCTTCTCAGAAATAGTCCACTGCTGTATAGCTCAGCAGAAATATAAAAGGGCATTATCCATTACCTATAGACATTTGTGTTTTCATTGATTTGCCAGGGATGTTATTGTCTTATGTATTTGTGCTTATTAATGTGGTAAAATTCTACATTACAGGGTTTAGAAACCATTTGTGTTTCTTCTGATACTGTCTGATTACTTAAATAGGATATCAAAAAATCAACAGAAAAGTTTAGAGACTGCAATCTCAACCATTGTTAAAGAAAAATTATTCAACAGACATGTGGTTAAAAGAGCAAGAAAGCCTTTATTCAAGACCCTTGTGGTGGGGGAGGGGGAGATAAGAGAGTGGAGAGATGCTGGCTGAGTATATTTAGCAGAGTCTTTGCTAAAATTATGCTCAGTGGCCAAGGTTGGGGGAAGTCAAAAGAGAGGGCTCAGAGAAGACTGACCAAAGCCTGGTTGTGAAGGGCTCCGTTGTCACATAGCAAAGGAGAGGGGAAAGAGGACAGGACATCCCTCTCCTGGACTGGTCACCTATAGAAATCCCTAGAACAGCCCCAACCTCCAGGACTGGGCTGTAGCCCCTCCAGGAGCTCCCACCAAGTAGCCATCACCTCAGGCATGAGACTCACTTGTTCTGGGCACTGGTGATTTACCCAGGTAAACAGAAATGTAAGAATTTCTTTCAAACTGAGACCCTAAAGAGAGGAAGGACAAAGCCCCAGATCCTGAATGACAAGTCCTACTGCTTTTGTGAGCCTTTCAGTCACATGCAGATAAAGAGCAGAAATGGGCCACTCAGGTGGTTTTTGGGTACGGAATGGCTTTTCCTTCATAGGGGAAACTGAGGAGCCACCTGTTTCTCCTGGCTTTAGTGTCAAGACTAATTTACAATTCTCTAATCACTGCCTCCTCTTGCTGGCAGAGTCTTTTCCAACCATAGTACTGTAATGCACCCCGAACTCGCCCCTTAAAAATCTACTTCCTCCCTGGCTTTCTTCTTTATTCCTATTTTCTCTCTGGCCCACTCTAGGCCAGATGACTCTACCATTCCCCTGCATAAAACCTTCTTGATAGACCCATTTTCCTGGACTAAGAGGATCAAGGCCTGGAAGGCCATGTAGAGTTTTGCATTTGCAATTTGTTGCTCATTTTGCAATTTTCTAAGTGATACACGGCTTCTCTGTGTAATGAAGAATTTGTTTAATAATAATAGCTAATACTTTGCATAGCATCAGTCATAAGTGCGGGCAATGTATAAGTCATTTAATTTTTAGAATTCCCTAATGGAAAAGATATTCATGCAATATCTGTTCAACAAATGGGAACACTGAAGTAGAGAGAGATTGGGCAACTTATGCAGGGTCTTTCTGGGATGTAAATGCAGTTAGTCTTTAGGGTCTATACTCTTAACCATTGTTCTAGGTCGAATTGTATTATGTTTAAGGCAATATACTGGGTTTCCTGGGTATTACCTTGAAAAGAAATCATGTCTGAACACATTGTTTTCCAGAAGACTCTCCAAATTCAGAACAGGACTTGGACAAGCTGGGAGGAAAATCACCCCCTCCCCCACCCCCACCCCCTCGGCGAAGCTACTTGCCGGGATCAGGGCTCACCACCACGAGGTCGGGTGATGTGGTCTACACCAGCAGGAAGGAGAGCACCGTTTCTAAGGTCTGATGGCTTGCGCCCTGCTCAGGCAGTTTCTGGGTGCAGACACAGGGTTCTTCTCTTTATTTGCTTGTAACAAGCAGACAAGTAGACTCAGCTAAGCTAGATCTCTAGGAAGTGCTACCGAAGTGTCAGCCAGGGTTGCAGACGTGACTCAGTACCATGAGTTTTATGCTAGCTTGACTTCTAGCTGTGACAATGTGAAGTGCAGATCACAAGCAATAGCTGTGACAGTGTGACGTGCAGATCACAAGCAACTGCCTCAGCTGGACATCCCAAGGCTGAGCCAGGGGTGACAGTGGGAGACAAAGACTAATTTTACAAAAGTAACTGAGATTAGCTGACACTGTTTTAGGAGTTTATATAGAAAGATGTTAAGTAAGCTATAGCTTTCACATAATTTGGTGAAGTTTTGTATCTTATGTTAAATTTATTAAGATATAATTTTCATGCTTGTAATCCTAGCACTTGGGAGGTTGAGGCAGGAAGATTGCCATGAGTTTGATGCCAGCATGGGCTACTTAGTAAACTTTGTTTCAAAAAACCAAAAAAATAAAAAAAATAATTCAAGGAAATGGGGGAATGGTTTTTCATAAAGACAGTGCATATTGAGGAATTATAGTTTTATTAAAATTCTTCAATCCAGTCACCAAAATGACAATTTAAACAATAATTCCAAGGGAATAAAAACTGCAAGGGAATAAAATAGCCTCCTTGGCTAGACATAAAGAGCAGGAAGCCAGTGGAACAGACAGTGGGGGCCGCATGATCTGTCTCTCTTTTCCCCACGCCTGGGGCCTGTTAAGCCAGTTTGCTGCTTGAATCTTCACAGGCAAGTGGTGATGATGCTGGCCCAAGCCCACAGAGTCGAGCCACAAAATGCCCCACAGAGGAGCCCACCGCGTCCTGGACCCCGACCCCACCGCCAGTCATTACCGCTTCTTCAAAGGGCGATGAGGAGGAGGAAGAAGAAGGAGACAAAATAATGGCAGAGCTCCAGGTATGTGGACCAGGTGGCTGCCCCTGGCTCCCTGCTTCTCCCTGGAGCCCTCAGAGCTTCTACCCAGCAGGGGCCATGTCAGCTGAGCCTCTGGCTGTCACCTTCACTTTTCGCAGATGACACTGAACCACACTCTTGGTGTAAGATGTGCGTGAGGCAGAACCATCTCACCACACAGACCAGAAACGGTTCTATGGAAAAATCAGTTTACAGCTCCCTGGCTCTGGCCGGTAGGATTTACTCTCCATTATAGACTTTAAAAACCTCTGCTTCATCCCAAAAGTGATTCAGACAGTGATTAGAAAGACAACAATTGTCTGTCTGGACAAAGACTGACCGAAGCACATTTTCTGTGTGTTCCTGTTCTATGACTTTACCCTTTGATAGATTGACCAGAATCATCAATCAAGCCCAGGGACTGGTCTCCTGTAGTTCTTACTGGCTTCCTATTTGATGTCCTCTTGTCAGATTCTGAAGAGCTCAGTAATTTTGTTTCCCGTTTCCCTTACTACTTTAGGTATTTACTTTTTAACTAGTGGACATGGTTGCCTCATAGGATTAAGGATAGGATACAGGGCCTGTAGGTAAGTGACTGCTCTAGAATTGTGTTCTGAGAACTTGCCTAATTACAGACGTGTGTGCTTCGCTTGACTCACACTTATATGGTGCTTCTGTCAGTCAGATAGATGACGACCTTCTTGGGATGTTGGAATAGGCTGTAATATCACCACTGTAATATCAGTGGTTTTTTGTAGGCCTGTCAATTTTCAAATTTCATGTGGAGTAGTGAGAAATCGCAAACTGTTATTTTCAAAACAGTTGCTCAGCTCTGGTTTCTGTGGTGATAGCTACCAAAACTGAGCTGTTTGGATTTTCCAGGGAAGATGGGGCTGCTCACTGTATGGTACAGGAACCCTTTCAAGCCTCCCTAAAACTTGCAGACTGGCCTGGGATCTTTCTTTCACCATGCAGTCTGCTCATAGCTTTTGAGACTGATCGGGGACTTATTCATAGGAGCCTTAGCTTTCTAAAGTTAGGAACTTGCAGATTTGTGAATCCTCCTATTGTAGCTCTCTGACAGAAGTCACACATTTGCTGTGAGCACTAACTTCCAGCCCACCACTTGGTGATGTTTTCCACACTGAAGTCTTCATCTCTGGTGAGCGCCAAAAAAAAAAAAAAAAAAAAAAAAAAAAAAGTACAGTTCCTTATCCTGTGATTGTTACTGATTTAACAGTGGTGAATCAAGACCTCAGCCAAACTCTCTCACTGGGATGGAGACCCAAGCTGCTGAACCAGAAAGCTGGCCGAGGGTCAGTGGCTGTGCTGGTTTCTTTGCCCATGTACTCTCAGGGGTTAGATTCCAGGCAGAACAAGCAGAGTCTGCAGCCTTCTCTAAGACTAGTCATGTAACGGCTTCGGAAGGTCAGTGTCACTGGACACCGGAAAGAAACACAGATCATAAAATCTAAACCTTACCAGCCCAAAGAAAGTGGCCGATGACCTCCGTAAGCATGTCCAGGATGATCCAAGCACAAGTGAAACACAGCAGGACTGGCTTTCCCAGGGACATGGGAGAGCGGGTACACCGAGGATGGGACAGACAGAGTCGTGAAGTTACAGTGACAACACCTGCTATTAAAAAAAAAAAAAACACTAAGCAATTATTTAAGATGATTCACATTATTAGAAGGGAAACTGTAAAACAAAAATACCCTTCTGCCCTGGAATGCTGACTGACTTACTTCTTCTCTGTGTGAGGCTTTGTAAAGCAGAGGCAGTGGTGAGAGCCACTAACATTCATAGTTGGGTCCCTGAGTCCTTACCGCTGCTGTGGCCATGACCACAGTTTCTGGAGACTCGGATGTCTGTCATTTCTGTGAGTCCTACAGATTCAGCCTACACTTTCTGTCTCTGTCTGAGAACTGACCCACCTGACTCGGCTTTCCCAAGCCCACCATTGGTCCTCACAGTCACCACAATTGGCTTTTGGAAGCAAATCTGCACAGTTCAGTGGCTCCCTGATCCCTGGTGCATCACTGTATTGTAGGCTGGCCTCAGAGCATGGGAGCACCTGTCACTATTTCAGAGAGTGGTTTGCTAAGGAGTAGTTCTAGGGTTAAAGGGTTAAAATATCACCTGAGGGTTTTTTCCCCCTGTAATTGCAATAAAACTAGTAAAAGACAAGGAAAAAGCAAGATTTCTCTTTGTTTTAATTCATTTGTGTAGTCAACATTTTGAAAAGGTCAAAGCAAGGAGCCCTAATAAATACAAATCAGGTTCATGGGGTAGAGGAAAGGGTGTTCCATATCCGATGTGTGTGCTGGGGATTGAACCCAAGACCTCACACTACTAAGCAAGTACCGTACCCCTAAGCCACACCTCAGCCTAAGGGTGTCCCTTTTAGGGCCCTGTCCACTTTATCCTGGTCAGGAAGTCTTTCCTTGGCCTCTGCCCCCAGCTCCCTCTGCAGACCTGAGGCCCAGTGGGGAGCAGGATTCCAGGGTGCTACCTCCCCTGTATGAGCCTGCCTGCAGGACCAGGGCTGGCATCCTCACACCTCTGGACTCCTGTGTTTCCCTCTTTTCTCCTGGTCCACTTGGATTCCCGTTAACCTCCGTATTTTAATTCCTTAGGCATTCCAGAAGTGTTCCTTTATGGATGTAAATCCAAACAGTCATGCTGAACAGTCCCGGGCTGACAGTCACGTTAAAGACCCTAGGCCAGGCGTCACAGCCCCACCCAAGGAGAAGAAGGTAACAACGTGGCAATGGCACGTTTGCCACATGGTCAGACAGCCCTGCCCTTCTTGCTCTGACACTAACATGGCCCTCTTGCACTTGACCTTGGTACCTTCTCTTTTTCCGTCGCTCTCCTTTTTTCTTTCTTTTTTTTTTTTAAACTAATAGAGACACAAGTTTAGGTTAAGATTAAAGACACCTGGTGCAGGTTTCTAACACAAAAGTTGTGTTCTTATGCATGGCATATAATAGTGTATGAGAAACCTAGACAGTTATCTTCTCAAACCAAGGAATAGATAGATACCTTTTAAGATTTTCTAGAACAATTTTTAAAAACAGAACCAAAAAATAGTGATTGGGTATGTAGAAGTTTTATATTTTTAACATGTCTATTCTATTTCTAGAAAATAAAAAATCGATGTTAAGGATAGGTAAAAACCTCAGATTCAGGGAAAAAATTCACAGCAGAAAATTCCTGTCACCACAAAGATATGATGATAGAATTGTGGAACCAGATAGGTATGTATTTGCAATTACATCTAGGGATGCCAAACAGAATTTCTGCAGAGTATTACCTATTTTTTTAAGTGTATCTTCTAAGATCATAAGCATAGTATACTTCTAATGCTAAAATATATCTGTGGCTATCACTGCCTAAATACTTAAGGGAAAAGATTTGGCCTGACTGTTGGAGCTGAAGTTTTAAGTTAACCTAATCATTGATGATTTTTGGATTCAGAGTTATCCTATTCAACTTACGCTTCAGAATTCGGGGTCACTACTTGCCCTTGAAGGCAGACATGACCACTTCAATAGAGCCCAGTAGATATTCTAGTTGGGTTCTGTGGTGTGTGTTGGAAAGTTCAGTGAGGTGAAACCGTGTCACAATGTGGGGGGGCTAATCTAACCCAAACTTCAAGAAACAGCTCCCCTCCGGCTCGCAGGCATCCTAGAGCCAGTGTGCATCATGCCTGCCGCATTACAGACCCATGAAATGCTTGACAAGAAGAAGATGTTTTCATGTGGGTGTGGTCACACAACCCCGGAGTCCCAGCACCCTGGACACTGAAGCAGAAGGATTGCAAGTTCAAGCCCAGCCTGGAAACTCAGTGACTTAGCAAGACTGTTTCAAACTAAAAAATAAAGAGGAGGGAGATCTGATTTTTACTAGGGAAGATTATTGGATTATTCCTGATAAATCTTTCTTAGGACGAAAACCTACTAATTTGAATAAAACCCATGAAGTCACATTGGAAATATACTCCTTTTCCTATAGAAGGAATTTTCCTTTGTGGCCTTACTAAAACTAACTCATGGATGGCCCAACCTAGTGAACGTGGGCCCGCGTGACTGTTCCTGTCTAAAACATTAACAGGGAACTTGATACTTCCCTGAGATCTCTCTGGAGGCAATCATTGCCTCATCATTGAATTTTCTTATTGCCTAGAATGTTGCATTGAGATTTCTTGTCCTGCAATCAAGGATCCATTGGAAAAACAGCAGTGCCCAGCACTGGGTTTAATTGCAGGAACTTACTCTGCATAAGTACCATATGCCCAGTAGATGGATCTACTTTATAAGTATTAGACTAGTCCCTAAATTTTCGTCATTATTAATCTCTACCTAAGCTGTTATTTACCCTTTCATAAATTATGTACGTTCTTAAAATTTGTTTCTCCTGTCCTAAAGAAGCCTCCAGCCTTGTACTTCACTCTTATGTAATTTCCTGTACTGTGTCTCTAATTTTGGTATATTGTCCATGTGCTTATGGAATGTGTTTCTCCAGCTGCCTAAACAATCTGGATTTGAGGTCTAAAAACAAATATCCAAATATCAAAATAATCATCTTTCAGGCAAAGTCTTAACTATCAAAGACTAAGAAATCATTGGGCATTTTTTAAAAAAATCATCGGCATTTATAGGACAATTGCCATCAAAGTTATTCTGGATGCAGCTCATGCATGTACTTTGATATATTTATTCCTCTTTCTAATCAGTGATTAAAAATAATAGTTTATGTGAAAACTGTATGTGACATCATCCGCTTAGTGATTTTTAATTAGTGTATCCTCGGTACTAACTCAGTATTAAAATGCACATATTGCAGGGTGACACTGGGAGTATTTAATAATGGGTATGGCATAGAGCCTGGCTAACCTGAACAGATGTCTGTCCTGACCCCTGTGAACACAGACAGCAGGGCTCCAGCCGGGCCTGTGTCCCTGTGAGATCATAGCCCAATCCTTTCTTTGATTCAGAGACTAAATTCTGTCTCATGCCATAATATAATACGCTAACTTCCTTTTTAAGAGTGGAAACTTTCAGCTGGAGCCTCATTTAGTTTTTTCCTTATAACCTTTCCTTGATGTGGTGGTTGTCTTATCAGAATTTAGGATCCCAAAAGCAATTAGGTGGCTCAAACACAGTACCTGGTTCACTAGTCTTGCTTGTTTGGGCACTTTATGGGAGACAAACAGAAATTAAACAGGAGTTGTTTCGTAACTAATGTACTTGCACCTTGTGACTGATTAATACCAACTTTGTCGTTTGTGTGTTGCCCGTGAATATGTGTGAACATTCTTTCCGTTTTTAATCAGGGAAGGAGCACTGCTCTGGGTTACCTGGCTCAGCTGGGTTATTGTGCTTTGCAATGTTGTTGCTTTAGTGAAAACACCTTCACTGGAACTACGTTCCATGGAGTTATAATCACCATTTCCTCTTGGGCTTCTGCAGCAAGACGAAAGAGCGGCAGTGCCTGGGGAGTGCTGGTGTGGGGTTGTGCAAAGCTTGAGGTGCCCACAGACCCAGGCTGGAAAAGGCAGGCTCCCCAGAAAGCACTCACCACCTGCACCCTCATGGTTGGGTCCTTTACTTCTGAATTTTGGTGACACCCTCAGAAACGTCTTTGCTCTGCATTGTAAAATAATCAATGAAAACTGCATTGTAACTTTCTTTTTTTTATTTTATTTTTGGTACTGGGGATTGAACTCACGACCTTGCACTTGCCAGACAGGTGCTTATGCCACTGAGCTAAATGCCTGGTCCTGAAAGTGGCATTGTAAGATGCAGAGAATAAAAGCTGAATTGGGGGCTGGAAGAGCGGCATGGTGGGACGGCATTTGCCTAGCACAGGCAAGGCCTGGGTTCATTACCAGCACCACAACACCACAAAAGGAAGAAGAAAACAGGCTGAATCATGATGTCATAGTCATCTCAGCTTTAAGCACATGGATTGTGGCTGGATGACAGTTGTTTATGCACATACCAGCACATAATGACATTTTAGTTACCTGTGGACCCGCATGCAGTAGTGATGCTAAGGAAATTCTAATGAAGCTGAAAAATCTCCATCCCTCCTGCCCTCCCCAGCTGTGCTAAGGTCCCAGCATGAGGTATTATTCACATGTTTTTAGTGCGGGTGGTATAAACAAACCTGCAGCAGTAGGTCATACTGGATCCTGATAAACAGCTGTTAGACTGTTTCCTGTATTCAGCTTATATCACTGGCTTAGTGTATATTGCTTCTACTTATTAAAAAAATAAGCATAGGCCGGCAGCAGCCTCATATATGACATAGTTACTCTGTCCCTTGATTGCATCCAGAGGCCGCACTGAGTGGTGGAACCTAGCATCTCAGTTCATGTGAGAACACTTTACAACATCTGCACCATGACAAAATCACCTACTGCTGTATTTCTCAGGGTGTACTGCGCTATGCGCCACTGAGTGGTGCTGACTACATCCTGGGGCAGCAGGAGCGCCGTACATTTCAAGTTGATACCTTGGTTATTGTTAATTTGAAGGATATTTTGACACATACTATAACCTGCAGGGACATTTTCAATCTGTCACTTCAGGGGGAAAAATGTTGCTGTTTGTTTTTTGTTTTCTACTCCAAACGACCACACAAAACTAACCTAGAAGTCTTTCTAGGACACCTTTCATAAATGACGCAGAGGTTGGTGTGATTTGGTGACACATGTGTAATTCCAACTATTCTTGAGATCATAAATTTGAGACCAGCCTGAGTAACTTGGCAAGCCCCTATGTCAAAATAAAGTGAAAAAGGCTGGGGATCTGGCTCAGTGGCATATGTAAGTCTCTGGGTCCTGTTTCTGGTGTCCAAATTCGGAGGCAGGACTGAAACAACTAAGTGAAAGAGAGAGACACGAAGAATCTCTTGGTCTTGTCCCTCGGATCATGGGCAAGGAAACCGAGGCACAGAGAAGTGAAATAGTGACTTGTCTAAATTCAGGTCCTAGCAAGGCAGGTCTGGATCAGAATCCACACATCCTGCTTGCCCCTTGCATTGTGCTTGCTGCAATTCTTGTCTTTGTAGATTTTGGTAAACTCATAATCAGGTGTTGATTGGTCCCTTTATTCTTTTAATCACTCTTCCACAAAACCTGCAATGCGTGAAATACACTGCTAATGGAGATTTTCATCTTGTGCAAACACAGGGCATTTTTGGAAGTTGGAGGACAAAACCAGCCCAGGTAAACAGAGCTGTAGGCTTTGGTTTGGCGTGTAGCATTTGTGCTTGGCAGCATGTCTGGAAATGTAATTAAAGGAACGATTTAGTTATAGTCCACTTTGGGGGGGATGTGGTTTTGTGGAGTAACATGTCCTACACTATTCTACCAGAATTTGGAATTTTTCCATGAAGATGTTCGAAAATCTGATGTTGAATGTGAAAATGGCCCCCAAATGGAATCTCAGAAGGTGAGTGCACCAGATCTGTGTTCCAACTGATTCCATGCAGCTTGATTCATTTCCTTCGTAGACCCATTTCTGATTAATATGTGTGGTTCCCCTCTCAGGTTACCACAGGGGTTCAAAGACCTAGTGACCCTCCCAAGTGGGAAACAGGACTGGAGAATAGTATTCCTGATGAATCAAGAACATCCGAATATAAACCTGACAAGTTAGTGAAGGAAAGTTCCATGTCCAATAAAAGTTTATTCAGGGACAGTAGAAACTATTCCCAGAAAAATGTGCCTATGGTCACTTTCAATTTCACTGGCACGAATTCATTAGAAGATGAAATAAACAAAGGGCCTAAAGTCTCAGGACTGCAGCACCCTCTACCTGACACTGACTGTCTGAAGGTGACTTATGGAAAGACAAAAGAGATGGGTGAACAAGGACAAGAAAATACAGTCAAGATTCACATTCTTTCCCCCGTGAGATCAACAGAATCCAGTATCCGAGATGTCCAAACACAAGATCAAGAAGTTCTCACAACAGATTTCGGCCAGGTTGTGCTAAGACCCAAAGGGACAAGGCATATGAGTGTAACCTCTCATGAGAACGGAGAGCCAGCCCCGAGTTCTCCCACTGAAGAAAACACAGCCACCGACAACATTGCCTTCATGATCACCAAAACTGCTGTCCAGGTTCTGTCCAGTGGCGAGGTCCACGATATAGTGAGCCAGAAGGGACAGGACGTACAGACTGTTAATATCAATTCCAAAAGAGAGACAACATCCCAGCAAGAAGGGGCAGAACAGGAAGAGCCAGTTGTGTGTCTGGACAAGAAACCAGTCATCATCATTTTCGAGGAACCCATGGACATCCGGTCTGCCTATAAGAGACTTTCAACCATCTTTGAGGAATGTGATGAAGAACTAGAGAAAATGATGACAGAGGACAAGATAGAGGAGGAGGAGGAAGAAGAGGAAAATGGAGACCCTGCAGTCCAGGGTAACTCTTCCCAGAAGTCTCCCCCGCAGGTTGCCTCTGACCATCTTGCCCTGGGACAGCAGGAGGAAGCAAAATTCCAGCCACACTTCCTGTCCACAGAGACCAAGACCCCAGGGAGACAGGAAATGAATAAAAGCGAGCAGAGCATGCCCAGCCCGGTAGACTCTCCTAATGCAGACAGCAAAGGTGACATGGCTGAGGACCAATATGAAAGCCCCAAGAAAAAGTTTAAATTCAAGTTCCCTAAAAAGCAGCTCGCTGCTCTCACTCAAGCGATCCGCACAGGAACCAAAACGGGGAAGAAGACCCTGCAGGTGGTGGTCTACGAAGAGGAGGAAGAGGATGGCACTCTGAAGCAGCACAAAGAAGCCAAGCGATTCGAAATTACCAGGTCACAACCCGAGGACACCTTGAAGGATCCAGCCAGGAGGCCAGAGCCTGGTCTAGAGAACACAAGTCAGATTTCCAGAACTGATGAGATTAGGAAAAATACCTACAGAACGCTGGACAGCCTGGAGCAGACCATTAAACAGCTGGAAAACACAATCAGTGAGATGAGTCCCAAAGCCCTAGGTGAAACTTCCTGTTCTTCCAACAGAGATTCCTTGGCCAGCTCATCCCACATGGCCCACGAGGCCTCTCCCCGAAACTTGCTAGTTCTGGATGAAGCCCCCCCTGCCCTAGAGCCCCCCACGTCAGTATCTTCAGCTTCACGTAAGGTATCTTGGTCTGGTGGAAAGCTGAAAAGACCCCTCCCCAGCTGCTTTCTAAAAAATCTGCCATAATCACCGTTAGTGAAAGGTGTCTTGTGATTTAATTGCTTCCTTTCAGGTGGCTCCTGTAGTTTGTCTTTCCGCCACAATACCCTTTCCTCCTCATCTCTCCCTCACCTTCCAAACAACAACTAGGTGTCTAACAGCTAATTGATTCTGTTTTTGCCTGTTGCTGATTGGTGTTGGGTAAACGTAAGGATGGTGGGCCGGCCGTCTGCTGTTGAAACGATTGCTCTGATACTCACATTAAAATCCGTTGGATCAGTAGTGAACGGTTTATTCTGTGTGATTCTTCTGATTAACCCGTTGGTGTCTCTTCAGTCTGTTCTGCATGCAGGGCTCTGGCTTCTCACCTTGACCTTCTCTGTGCAACACGGGACAGGCTTGGTCATCACCCACTCACGTGCTTCTCTTTCTCTTCCCCTTCTCGCTGCTCCTTCCTGCAGGTCTCCAGTGGGACCCCACAGACGAGCCGCATGCCAGTCCCTATGAGTTCCAAGAGCCGACCTGGCAGCCTAGACAAACCCAGCAAGCAATCCAAACTGCAGGATCCCCGCCAATACCGTCAGGTAGTTTTACCTTAAACCCACTTTTGGATGGACACTATCGCAGTTAAGAAGCAATGTCTGACTTAGTTTATACCAGATACTGTGTTTTCTTTGTAAGACATGGTTTACATAGACATCCTGGATCTGGGGGCATGAGAAAAGTCTAAAACGCCCTTGTTACTGTTTTTTCCAGGCTCTTGCATGCATGCAATAAAACATTTTTTACTTTATGACTCCAAATTTTAACTACAAAGACAGTGCCAGACTGGTGGAATTTTTTTTGGTGAATGTAGGGCTACATCGGAACACTGGGAAACAGAGAAACCAACTGGTTGCTGACCTGCCTTTAGAGTCCCCAGTAGTAGCGTCTGTGCTGACTGTCGCGTAGACACGCCGAGGCACCCTCCACCCCTTCATCCCCACGCGTGGCCGCTGGCACTGGGCGTGGTAGCTGCAGGGAGGGCCGTGCATTCCTCCTTTCTGCCTGTGCTTGGGAGGGAGGTTTCCCAGCAGGTCCAGGAAAGCACAGAGGTAGCGCAGGCCTTGACGGTGTCCTTGTGATTTTGCAGAGTGATGCGCAGAGGGCTGTGTGGCCAGGCCCTGAGGGCGCCCGGTGACCAGCTTTCTGACGACTGTCTCCGCCGTCTCTGTTCGCAGGCTAATGGAAGTGCTAAGAAAGCTGGTGGGGACTGTAAGCCTGCTTCCCCGTCCCTCCCCGCCTCTAAGATCCCCGCCCTCTCCCCCAGCTCCGGCAAAGGCGGCTCCCTGCCCTCCGCCGGCGGGGACGCCTCCAACCCGCCCGCCCCGCCCGCTGCCAAGCCGTCGGTGGCTGCTAACCCGCTCAGCCCACAAACAGGCCGGCCCGCGCACCCCTCCGCCTCCCTCATCCCTTCCGTCTCTAACGGCTCCTTAAAGTTTCAGAGTGCCGCCCACCCCGGGAAGAGCCACCCCCTCTTCTCGGCGCAGACCCCCGCCTGCCCGTCCCCGCCCTCGCCCGCCTCGCCCCCCGCCCCGGCCCAGGGCGCCCGCCCCAGGACTGCGCACACGCCCGCCCTCGCCGGCCACAAGGCGCACAACGGAAGCGCGAGCAGAGCCGCCGCCGCGGCCCCGGCCCCGGCCAAGGAAACCTCCTAACGGCCCTCCTAGTAGGCACAAGCTGGAATCACACTTCTTTTAATCCTTTTTTTCCCCGCAGTCTGCAACTGTTTTCACCAGAGAATGTAAAAATATTACTGTACCGTTGAGGCTTAATGCAAAGTATGTGCTAAGTACTGGATGGCTAGATCTCAGTAAGGCTTGTTTCGTTTCGTTTTTACTTTGTTCCTGTTGTAACTGCATAGTGTTCACTGTCTAGACTCAGTATCTATCAAATGAAGTAAGCATGTGCTACCAACAGAGAGGATGGTGAGAGCAGAGAAGTGCGAGAGACACAATTGTATGAAGCATGTAAAACATGTATGATTCCAGAATTTTAGTACGTTTTGTATGAAGCTATTTTTCATTATGGAGATTAGAAGTGAACAGAGAAATACACAAGTGTGACTATATAAATTGTAAAACAGATACTATAGTATTTCCTTTTATTTTAGTGTTATTTAGCTTTATTACAGATTTCTATTTTTGTCAAAACTCCATGGTTCCTTTCAAGATCTTTTTTGCCAAAACATTTTGATACTATAGCATTGTACATTTGAAAGTAGTGTGCTAGATGATAAGCCAATGAACTTCTCCGTGAGCCAGCAGGGAGGTGTATGTAGGAAGAATTTATCACAACTATTGCACTGCCATGAAAAGTATGTATAGTAATTTGTTAGCCCAAGCAAGCTAATTTTCTTTGCTCTTTTTTCTTCCTTTTAAATTTTTTTTAAAATTTTATTTTTAACATATTGAGAGTCTTAGACTAGTCCCTTCCTTTGTTTTCTGAGACCTGGTCACCCACACTATTATATTGTGGATTTTAAAATGTACACTTCTGTACGGTTCTGTAAACTGATCAACTTTTGTAAATATATAAATATAAATAGACATCAAAATACTGTATGTGACCACACATAGAGTAGTTTTCCCACACCAAAGTTAATTTTTATGCATGCTTTAAAAATATATATGGGGATGGGTAGAAATGAGACTATCTGCACATTTTTAAAAAGCAACAAGTTTGCACAGTTGGAGTGTTTTTGTAAATAAATGTATTTGTATAACACAGTCATGTAATATACAGAACTATAAGCAGAGACTTTGCAAAACCAAATAAAGGGCTGCATGCTTATTATTTTTTGTACCTTGTCACTACAGTTCCTGGTCAGAGAACAACATGTAACTATTACTAGAGTAAGTGTTCCAGCTTCAGGGCATTATAATGATCATGTAACACATCCACTCAGATGGTCCTGCTTTTCTGAAAGTGCTGGGGTGACCGAGAGAGCCTAATAAATTCATCGCAAGTGTGGCACCTCGGACGTGAACTGCTGACTCTTTCCTGTGGCCGCTCGGGCTCTGGCTGACCGAAAACAAGGCAGAATGCTCAGAGTCGCCCTCACCTCTCCAAGCAACCCTTGCTGCTTTCTCTCTCACTTCTTATCTGGCACAAATAAAGTGGAAATAAAATGTCTTTCTTACCACTGCTATTTCTTTTCAGCTCTCAAGTTTAAAATATATTGTTGGTCTGGCGGGAAATACTAACATTACACCATATGTTTTTGTTTAAGAAGAATAGGAGGAAAAGTTGGTGAAAAATACCAAGATTATGAATTCACTCTGGGCACAGTCTCAGGAATCTGCTTGTTGTTATTTTTCACTTCCAGAATATTTAACTTGGGTGTTTGATGTATGAACAAATACTCATGCACGTCAGCTCCCACTCGTATATTCCCACGCTTCCTAATTAACTAGGTGACATGCCTTTGCCGGAAATATGTCCTGATGTCTCTATTCATTATACTAATCGTAGTCATGTGTTTTAGGTAGCTATAGGAAATTAAATATAAAAGGGTCCAACATTTCAATCAGGTCCCATAATCTTAACAACTATATTTACATATAAAATAGATGAAGAGTGACCAAAACATATGGCAGATTTTCAATTTTTTTGAGATAGGATCTTGCTATGTAGGCTGGCTTGCACTCACTATGCAGCACAGGCAGAGTGCTCCCCCTTGCTTGGAAAGACACCGCATCACTCTTGCCACTTTTTAACCACAGTTCTCAAAGTCTTTTTTTGTGAGTGTCTTTAATTTTTCAGTGCTGTTGTGGCTGTGTCACTTTCCTGAACCAATTTAAAATGTATACTTTCATGGTCATTGTTACCTTGGGAAAGAGCCAGAAGCCACAGGGTACCAGACCACGGTGAGTCCAGTGGATGAGGTGCAGAGAACGGTTTTATGGACTCACCCATCACTGCCCGGCACTCAGCAGCAGAGCTAACTGCTTACACCCAGTAGACACTCACGAAAGAGGACTTCCAGAGCTGTTTCAGAAAGTCGCGTGAACAACCAGAAAAAAGGATTTAAAGCAAAGGGGACTCTTCTGAGGGAGATTAATGGCAATGTGTCCTTTACTATAATAAATTTTAGCAAACATTGTATCTTACATAACTAATAGAATAATTTGGTGTCACACAGTCTGTCATAGCTAGCTAGTTCATACCAGTTTGTTTGCTCCTGTTTAGAGACAAGCTGAGAACTCTCTGAGCTATTCACAAAATTTGGCTCCCTTTTTCAGCTTGACCACAGAATTCCCAGAGCTCATTCAGTCGGGACACCTGGCCTCCAGGTGAGGGACAGTTCTGTGAGTAGTGAGTTTCTTGTTTAAAGTATTTTGGTTTTACCTCCTCATTTGAGGAAACCTGGTCAGCAGGGAGTCAAAACCCTAACACGTGGCTGCAGGCTTGAGCAGAAGTCTTCTCCAGCGTTTCCTGGGGAGCGGGGCATTTGGCCCTCAGGTACACTACAGGACTTCCTGTAGTGCTACAACATTAACAAGGCCGCTTCTATTTTAGTACCACTGAAATGAGAACATTGATAGACAGCTCCTCCTCCCAACATAGATAGACAGCTGCAGAATCTTGGAGAAAAGCCACGGCCCTGGGACCTGCGGTTCCAGAAGAGAGAAGTTACCTGTGAAGCTGCATCCTCGGGCCTGGGCTGAACACTATGGGCAAGGCATTGAGGGCACCTTTGGCCACCTCCAAATTCAGCAGTGACACCAGTCCTCTTCCCAGACTCCCCACCCTATTATCCTAGCTGATCTCCTCCCGTCTCCAATGCTGTGTAAATGCAAAGACCTTTGAGAGCAGTTAGAACACTTTTTAGAGGAGGAAGGAAAAACAAAACAAAAAACAGCTTCAACCAACCATTCAAAGTGCGATTCTGCAGAAGTAGCCAGATGGCATTATTCAGGAAAAAGCACTGGCCAGGTGTCCAGGAAGCTCTCGCCACACCCTCTAACCCAAACCCACCCCAGCCCGCAGTCCTCTCCCAGTAGCTTCCTGCACCTGCTAGGGTGCGACAGGTGGATGGCTCCCAAGTGCCTCCTAAAAGGGATTCCTTGGGGCTGGGCTTCCAGAGACTTACCTGGCACTGACTTGTAAAAGGACATTTCAACCCTGCAACATTCAAAATGTGAGTCCCAGAGGCTCCTTTTAAAATAACAAATGTTTTGAATAAGATAAAATTCTTGGTGGTGTATTCTACCTAGTCACCTAGCTTGCAAAACTAAGCATCAAGCCCTAACAGGGACAAAACAAGATTGTTGGCTCTGATGAGCAGAATTCAGCAACAAATAGGACACATTCAGACAAGAAAGGGGGACTCAGACACCATGAGGGGCTTTGGAATGACATTACTTTTCCCAGATACGTAAGGACTGTTCAAAGCTTCAAACAGCAACATGGAATTCTCTCATTTTACAATTGCTGGAAATTTTACTGTACATTTTAAAGAATATATTAACTGCAAAGTGGAGTCAACCTTCAGGCGAGGCCTTTATTTATGTGAGCGTCCTTTGGACATTCCTGGGTCCTTGTAGGGGTAGGGCTGGGGACGGGTCTTCCCCAGAGGCACACCCACTTTGCCTCCAATACTGTGATGACTAAAACAGCAGAAATACCCAAGGTGGCTCCCAAAGGGCAGTTTGGCTTTCAGAACTAATGGCATAGAACAGTGACCCTGAGCTTTGCTTTGAAAGGCTGGACCCAAACCACAGGTTGTAAGGACCCAGCGGTGAACAGCTACTGAGGCACTAAGCCTGGCACCCCTCCTCACAGCAGCCCCAAGGACCCAGACAAGCCCCACTACAGCTTTCCCCGGGGCTTTGCATGAGGCCTGTACCTCTTTATGATCTTGTCCTTTGTGCCTGCAAGAGCTCGTGACTGACAATAAAAGAAACCCAAACTCTAAGCAATTGTGAAGCAGAAAGTCATGGGAAATCTTGGGAAGCTGAGTGGGAATCTTACTGGTGATGGGAGGCTGCAGTGGATGTCCACACTTAAAATTAATTGTAAAAGATAAATTGCCACTGATCCCCTCTAAATACTTGCCTTTGCTTTGACTTGCTTCACCCTGTTGTCCTTGCCATTTTCTAAAGCCATTCTGGAAGTGTTCTTCAGTGAGCCTCTCTCCAAGGTGTAGTCAAAGGTACAGTCAACGACATTGCTGAGGGACTTCGCACAGAAAGGTGGGTTTGTAAAAACACACTGTGTCCTCCTCTGCCTGATTCGCCCGCCCTGGCTCAGTGTGACCTCTGGCTCTTCCCTAAAGTCAAAATGATCCTGAAAAGGAAATAGGTTGAATCAATTCAGGATATCAAGGCAGGCAGGACAGCACAACTAGAGACCCTCACAAAACAGTACTTTTATTTAAACTCTATTTTTTTCAGTCACATCTGGTAACTATAGTGCTGAAGCACTGGACATGGCAGAGGTGCTTGATCACTGGGACCGGGAAGCGAGTACCCCCACCTGCAGTGCACATGTCTCCTGGCTAACGGAAAACTTCAGCAACAGAAAGGCCCCGTGGAGCCAGCCAGGGCTGGAAGAGCCTGGCTCATGGGCAGATTCCTAAGGCTGGCTAAGACTTCGGTCACCTGGGAGGGTCAAGCTGTATCACCATCATTTTAATTAATTAATTACTTAATTATCTTTGAGATGGTTTCTCCTAACTTGATCAGTTGCCCAGCCTGGCCTCAATCCTTCCATCCTCCTGCCTCAGCCTCCCAGAGCGCTGGGATTATAGGCATTATCCCACCACACTTGACTTGGGGGAGGGTTTCTAAATCTCCCCATGAATTCTAGCAGCACAGCAGGGCTGAGAAGGAAGTCTCACAAGAAAAGCAGCTGGGCTGGGGGCAATGAGAAGATGCTGCCCTGAAAGCTACAGGTGACCCCTCCACCCGCAGTGGACTCACACAGCAGGAAGACTGAGTCACCATCTTCGTTTTTCCCCCCAAACTGTCCAGCTACATTTCTTTTTAAACCAGAATTTATAGACACAACATTTGTCCTTAGTAGGTTTAGAAGTTGGAATATTTAAGGCTTTGGCTTCGAAGTGCAGGAGGGGCTCCTCCCTCAGCCTCTGGAAATCCTCAAGTCTGGGATGGGTCCTGACACTTGTTGGAGTGAGATATTTCAAGGGCATTTGTTACCCAGGTCCCAGCGGGTGGTGGCTATTTTGGTGATGAGCTTCACAAAGCTACCGTGGGGCCACTACGGTACACACTGACTGGAAGTATAAAGCAGCCCCCCTTCAGAGAGGGTGCTGAGGGCCCTGGCCTAGGGTTTAAGGACCACACTGGAGATATGCAGGTGGCTGTGGTCAACAGGGAGCCTGGCCTGGGCAGGGACTATCGAGGGCAGGATGGAGGCTCCAGGCCAGAGTGGAATTCCCCTCTCTGGGACCCCACAGCCACCCCATGCCCATTGGAGGGTGACAATGCCCTGCACCTGGCCCAGGTGTTCTTCAGCCCCTGGGCCACCCCAGCTCTTCCTCAGTTTCCCTCTCCTCTGCACACTGAGTGGGCCTGTGTCCTGGCTTGCAGCTCAGCCATGCTGATCAGGTGCCTGAAGACCCCCTCACTAGTACCACACCCAGTGCACCCCTGTAGCCCTGTCTGGTTCCATCAAAAACCTTCACCTAAAGCATTAGATAGGCTGGAGAGCACCTGGCCGCCCCGCATCCCTGCAGGGGACAGGAGCACAGTCTCCCTGCCTGGAAAGTTCTCCGCACCTCACCATTCTGCTACCATCCATCCTGCTGTCTCCCACAGCCCAAATCCTAGTCCTTGGTACTTGAAAATCTCCCCACCCCTTCATGGCCCTTAAGGGAGATGGATGCATACCGGGGTGTGGACTTGTCAGTAAATATTCAAAACAGGCATTAAGGTCTTTATATAACATATAGAGGACCCATAGCAAGAGCTGCCCCCACTCATGAAAGACCACTCTCATTTGTGGAGATACAGGCTAGTGGACGGAACTTGGGATGTAGACACATTTTTCTACTGTCCACATCATCTACATTTAAACCCTCTTTAAGATTTGAGATTTAAGGCTCTTTTATGAATACAGCACTTTTAGCCACGGAGATGGCATGCACCTGAAATCCCACCACTTGGGAAGCTGAGGCAGGAGGACTGCAATGAGCTCCAGGCCTTCCTGAATTAGAGCAAAACCCTGTCCCAAAAGGGGGAAAAAAATTGTTCCTCTGCTCCCACCTTGTGGCCATTTCTGGAACTTCCTCCAAAATCACAGGAGGCCTTGCTCCTCAATAAAGCTCCCTGTAGTTTTTGCTGCAGTTATAAAAATGTAAGCCTGACCAGCTTGTGAAGCTGTGGCTCTGGGCGGAACAGCAAGGCAGCTGCCATCTGTCCTCACTCAGGGCCTCCCATCCTTACAGTTTTGGAGAAAGTGAAACAAAATGTAGAACAAAGGAACTAATGTTCCTTCTAGACACATTAGGACTGCAGGAAGGGAGCTTGGTGGGAGGGCACCGCATCTGTGATGCAACCAGGCAGCAGTGGGGAGCTCCCAGATGGCCTTGCCTGGACCTCAGACCTGCAGGCTGGAAGCACTACCAGTCCCCACCTGCAGCCGTTTTTGCTTCCTACACATTTCTCTGTTCCCCAGGAGCTCACTGCTCCTCCCTCTTACCTGCAGGATTTCTGGGGGGAATTTTGCTGCAGGATGGAGGATCTAAAAACTATAAACACGTAGGCTTTTTTAAAAAGATATGTCACAGAGCCAAGCATGTGCTGGAATCCCAGCACTCTGGGAATTTGGGGTGGAAATGTGTTGTATATGGAAATTTGAGCTCATCCTGGGACATGCGGGAGATTTTGACACAAAATATGAAAAGCTGGTGACATGACTCTGCAAGACTCCAGGGTTCCATCCCCAGCCCTGCACCAAAGCAAAAAGAAAAGGCACATGGACAGAGGGGCCGGCTCAGGTGAGATAAGCAAAGCAATGTCAACTCGGGCTCCTCAGCAAATAGGATGGTGTTTTATGAAAACTGGAATGAAAGTCTACAGGCAGCGCCTCAGGGAAGTGTCCCTCTTGATCTGAGCCTGTGGTTTTATTCATGTGCTCACTTGTGATTGCATTACACTCTGCAGGGACAGCCCACAGTTTGCCCAGTGATGTCTGTCACCAAGGGCCCCAAACCCCTGCCACACCCACACAGCCAAACTCCTGTCCTAGTGTCAACTGTGCAACTGATGCTCTGGACCCCAGGACAAATTTGTGCATATTCCTGTCCCATTTCTGTCTGTCAGAGTCAACAAATCATTGGAAGCATGTTTAAAAACTAATCCAAAGCCTCTGCAGGAACCTGCGGGCTGTGTTGCTGCGACTTCCTCCAACATCTCGGGCCTCTTCTGCTCCAGACTCTGTGCCCCACAAGTCACCACTGGGCCTCACACCATGTACAGCTCCACTCAGTGGGGAGAGCTTATTCTCAAATTCACACACAAGTGTTGGGGGGCTACACAGAACGATCACCCACCACAAAGGGCTGCATGCTCCTGCATACTCTGGGCGGAGTTGTCCCGGGCATGTTTCTGGGCTCCACTCTCAGCACCTCCTGCAGCCAGGCATGCAGCTGAGACTGCCTGAGACATCATCTTTTCGGTGGTGCTCCATTCTCTGTGGGCCTCCAGGTCCCACCTCTCTGTCTTCTGGAGACCAGCAGCTCCCCTCCAACCAGCCCGGCCAGGGTCACCGCTCCTGGAGTGTCTGCTGTGGGGACTTTCCTTGGGTCTTCTGGGTTTTGTCCTTGTCCTTATCCTCCAAGCTGAGCCCAGTTTGATTTCCAAGTGCACCCACATCTAGAGGAATCTCGATAGGAGGGAAGGCAGCCAGGAGCCAGCATCGGGGCTCCTCGGACTGGAGAGGATCCTTCCAGCTGGGTCCACATGTCCCCTCTGCCCCACAGCTGATTGGAATGTGCTGACAGGGCGTCCCCAAGCCTTTGGGGCTGCTTTCTCCGAACAGCTGAGGATTATCTGTTGTAAGATGGCTTGATGATGAGTCGTGAAGGCAGACTTCATACAGCTGATTCAGTTCTACTTGCTGACTTTCAAAACATCCGTATATCTTGGATTAGCAAGGCTATCTTGCTGTGTGCCTGGTCCCGTCCCACCCACAAACCTGTTCTCTCATTTGCAGGCAGTATTTACCTTTGACTGAGGTGCTTTGGATTGAACCCAGACCCTCTGCACTGAGCTATGTCCCCAGGCTTTCTTCTTTTCCCTCCTTCTCTCCTCCGTCTTTCTGTCTTTCTCTTCCTTCCTTCCTTCCTCTTTCCTTTCTCCATTTCTTCCTTTTTCCTTTTTTCCCTCTCCTTCTCCTTTCTGACAGGGTCTTGCTTAGTTTGCTAAGTTATCCAGGCTGGGCTTGAACTTGCTATCCTCCTGCCTCAGCCTCCCAGACTGCTGGGATTATAGATGTGCACCACCATGCCCAGCTTACTTACCTATTTTTAAATCTGTATGTCAAAATCCTAGCCCCGGTGACATGGTATTAGAGGTGGAGCCCTTGAGGTGATTGGGTCATGAGGGCAGAATCCTCATCAATGGGATGGGGCCCAATCAAGCAACCATTCATCTCTTTTAAGATGTGAAGACCCAGCAAGCAGGAGGCTCCGCCCAGAAGCCAGGGAGCCTGTCCTCACCTGGCTAGAATGGGGGGCACCTGGATCTTGGCCTTTTGCTTTCCAGAACCACAGGAATCCATCCTCACTGTTGTAAGCTATGTGAACTCTGGCTCACGACTGTCTCAGTGAACTGAGACAGCACACGTAGCGAGCGCTTCACAAACTCTGAAACCCCCATGCAACTGGAAAGTATATCAGTGTACTTATATTTTCTCCACTTAATATAAATTAGTTTTTTGGTCAAATTTTTGTGAAGTATAGCATACACAAAAGTAGACATTTACAGTTAAATTTTTACCAAACACACATGTACGTGATAGAACCCATCCCAACTCAAGAAATAAAAAATCACCAAGTCCACTTTCTACTTCCTCCCACACCTGATCCCACTAGGTAACTAGCTGATTTCAATTCCTGGGTCTATGACCATAGTTGGACCTGATTTCCACCCTTCTAAATAAAATAACTTGAGTATTTTATGTTTTGCTTCTTTCATTCACTTATGTTTGTGAGGTTCACCCAAGATGTCGCTCATATTAGTAGCTTATTCTTATTTCTGTGTAGCATTTCACTGAACAAAAATAATACAATCCATTTTACTGGCAATTGGAACTTGACTTGT